GCAAAAACGTTGGTTTTAATTTTAAACACGAAGGCACCCTAACCCACGCTAAAAATAATGTCAGTATGACACAAAATGTCATGCAACGCTTGCTCGTGACGGAAGAGCCGTGTAAAATGACACGCGCGGGAATCAAACCTGCCCTTCATGGTCGTATAATGTAACATATACGGTTACTGTAACGCTGATCTCGGGTTACTTAATATACATGTATTTGGTTTTAGTTATTCTTAGATGTCATTTTTAAGTATTTAAGTTTAGTCAAGAACAAACACAATTTAACACGGCTAATTTAAAAATGCGTATTTGTACGTTAAGTTGTAATGTGTTGAAGAATATAATTTTTAGACACCTAAGGCTCTACGAATAATTTACTTCCATTCTTTTAAATAAAAAAAACAAAGATACGTCAATCAAATAGTACAAACAAAGTAATCTTGACAAGTCAAACATCTAGTGTTACCATAATTAAAATAAATATATGTGGCACCTGGAGTTGTATCTCTTTTACTTTTCATTTCTTTCTTACTTAACATGTCTTTTTATTCAAGTCCATTTACTACCATTCTAGTACATGCCTATTATCTTTTTGGGCGAGTATACTATAAACGCGAAAGTGTGTGGGTGAGTTTATTACTCATTTACGTCAGAACGGTGGAACGTTTCTGGATTAAATTCGGCATAGAGAATGATTATGGTCTGAAATAGCCTAGTTTTAGTCAAGTTTTTTTTTTGACAAAATCGCCATTTCCAGCGACTCTGCAATACCGGAGGGAGGGAAAGTTCTCAACGCACTCTGCTTAGGGATAGAATAAAATCACAATCGCATTAGATAAATCATATAAGTTGTAAATTTTAAAATCACACCTGCGACTGATTTACAAAACCACTTCGACTTATTATTATTATTACGCTAGCGCAAGACTCGAAAGGTCTGAATCTAAAAAAAGGTCGTAATCTTTGATAAAAAGAATTTTGATTGATTTTAATAGCATTGATCTTTGTCTATGACGAAATCACAATCAGATCGCAAAATCGCTGTGACCAATCATTTCATCAAATGAATATGATTTAAAAGTAGCAATAATTTCCATGTCTAATTAGCACCGTTGTTTTCTAAATCATCGATTGTCCACATTGAAACGAGTATATTCTAAATATCAAGGCTTAATCGTAATTAAATTACATCGCAATAAAAGCCAATTTCAAATGCATTGATTAAATTAAGGTCAAATTGTACACAGTTGAAAACATTTGCGAAAGAGATCATCTTTTAAATAATGTAATTATGTGTGACATGCCGTTGAGATTGATTCATTAAAGGTCAATTTAGACACACACACACACATATGTACATTCGTCACTCACGCTTCATTCCCGTCCGGGGTAGGCAGAGATTAAACCGCCTGACACATTGCCATTATTCTGCAAAAAGCTCGTGTCTTTTTTAATATGTCTTTCACAAAGAAATCTGTTGATTTAAACTTTTAGCATTTACCGTGACAGGTCCAACTATTTACTAGATCCTTAAAGCTTTAAAAATGTAACTTTCTGCCACTTCTTCTGCTGCTCTTCTTGTTCTTCATACAAACTTTAAGTATTCCAATCTTAACATTCCTGTCTGTGTCACACTAGCGTATTAATTTATGGGTAATTGACATAACTTTTTAAATATTTGTCAATGTATTGTTCTTATTATTTATTTATTTACATATCAAACTGTCTAACAGATAACCTATGGTATTGCATTAATTCAATGTATTTAAAGTATTGTAGTTACAGAGATTTATGATAATATATGTACTCTGTAAATATACTATTAAATGTACTATGTAAAAAAGGGAGGGTAACCCGACTCCCTATTTATAGACAGATTACAAAGTTTTCTCGTCTTAAAGTAGAGAGGCCCGACATAATACCCCCAAGCTTCCACCAGCCGTGAACTCTGATGATGTAACATGATTATTTGATGGAATACTTGTTTTTTTTTTACTTCACAATGAAAGTAAAAAGGGTTGTAAATAGTCACATAAGCTTAGTAAATACACAGTATAGAGCTTTATTTTCATGGATTTATGTGTTTAAGTGACATCTCAGTTTTATAATATTGTCGGTATTCTAGGCGACGGTAGTCACTTGCCATAAACTGATCCGTCTGTTCGCTTACTCACCTTTACCATAAAAAAAAATAGTATTTACAGAAGAAGATTTTTTTTTTTCAAATTATAAGTTCCCAACCCATTTTAATAACAAAATATTTTGCGCCACCTAGTAGAAATACACAGTCTATCTATATTGCAACATATAGAATGCAATATAACATTAAAATCGAATAATGTCCGCTCAGAATATAATCCACATCACGTATTCTCCGTTTTGATGCAGATTTCATCTCATAAATCAAGTATCTGCTTGCCAAGTTTGGTATCAAAAGCTTGCTTGGCTCATCTGTCATAATAAACTAATAACACAATAAGGACATTGAATAATAACACAAGTAAAATGGCATTTCGTAAAGGAGATGTCAAAGTATTTAACCTTTTTAGTCAACTCTGTATTAGGATCAGACTTTAATCTTAGTAAATGTGAGAGAGCTCCTTTATGCCACCCAAGGGATATAAATTAGAGATTTCACAGTTAAGATTATTACTGGGTTTTACTGTATCAAAACTATAAACCCGGAGTCACGTAAGAAACTAGAAATGTTGACCTTTTTGAAATAGGCGATTTTATTAATTTATTTATTAAACTAAAAACTTCGAAATGACACACATTAATTAAGATACACTACCATTGAACTGTTGCCATAACAAGGACGACTGCTAAGTTTATGGTCATTCACACATCGTTATTCATCATATAGGCTGATTAGACCAGTGATACCACGGCCTCACAGAAAGCAGGTTTGGTTTTCATCGACTGAGTGAGCGACGTTAACACTTGTTTGACCTTTATACCATGAATGAAAACAATTTTTTTTTTAATAGATATGCGTTTGGTGACGGATTAAGAATACAGAATGTCACCACCTCTATTCATCCTGTGGATGTCGTAAAGTCGACTCAGGAAGCAAACTACGCAGGACAACAGCATTGTAAAGAGAAGGAAAACTTGACACAAACCCTATACCAACTCGTCTGGCTAGCGTTGTATAGTAGGCCAAAACCTCCTTTCTAAGGAGAGGCCTATGGACTAATTATATATGACTGATATTTTTTCAAATATCAATTATTGCAAAGGCACTATTCCTTTCTACTCTCGAGTTTCCAGTCTGCCTTACGTGTCTGGTAAAGGTCATTATGACAATGACGTGAATAACTTATGTTTTAATTTTAAACCACAGATGACAATCTTTCACGTTCATTAGGAATACAAAACAAGGTAAAACAGAAATTACACCGGCTTAGATGCTGCTCGCGTATGAAAATAGAAGCGTGCATGTCTAGTATGTAAATATAAACTATACTTAACTGTCTTTTTAATGTAACTTACCAGGTGGTAAGTTACTACCTCCACGCATAGATGCTACTGAGTATTTCCCCTCCAGGATAAGGCGGGGGGTAATTTCACTCACCCGATGAAATGCGACGAAATAATTTCACCGATTTTCTGTGCAGCGGTCGAGTAAGGGCTGTATGTGCCGAAAAATGCATCTTCAACGGCAAGTTGTTGTGGTGGCGTCCTGGTCACGAAAATGCGATCGGGCCGCAACATATAATGATTGGGCTGATAGGCGATGGAAGCCCAAGTCTTCCCCGGGATAGGGCCTTTCTAGGCGCGACATTGATCCGGGGGGGCCTAAAATAACATGGTCCGGGTCCTCCTCGGAGTAGAGTGCCTAAGACCGCCGTCGGAGTGGTTTTTAGTGGAATCATAACATACTCTGATCCAAAGGGATTTTCCACCCCGTCAAGAAAAAAAAAATGTATAGGTGATGTATAGGTATAGATGGGATGTATAATAATAGTGTTATTTGATTTAGAAAAGTTCTTGTGTAACGTAATAAAGCAACATCAGAAAAACAGATATGGTCTCTATGTTTATCTCCGGTTAAGAAGCACCGTCCTTACAGCGAGTAGTTAGGACATCAACAATATCTAAGTCTTGCAAAGCGATTTGTATTCGAAACAACGCGGAAGTTACCTCGTGTTATGAATACTAGAAGTGTTTGATGTAACTGCACTCAACCAATTCGGTCAAATTAACATATCAACAAATTATTCACTTGTCTTTAACTAAATATACCTACTTATTGTGTAATATTTGCATAATTCATTTTGTTTAGTAGGATTTTATCATCGGGCTCGTGGCTAAGTTAACACATTACAGAAGTTAAGCAATCCTAACCAGGTTAGATTATGGCTGGGTGGCCATTCCTAACACATAGCCATCGGTCCCGGTTGGCATACGAACATTTGTGGTAATTGTTTTGGGTAGTTAGAACCCTAAACAGTCCGACAACAGTCTATATAAGGAACTTTGATATCCGACCGATTTTATCATTTGACTTTTGAAGTATTTTTTTCTTGACTGCACGGATGGCGTAGTGGTTTAAGCGGTCGCCACGCCGCTTCCTACTACGCCGAGTGTTGTGGGTTCAAACCCCACATGGGACAACACTTTGTGTGATCCACAAATTGTTGTTCTGAGTCTTGGTGTTCTTTGTGTCCGTTTCATGTATGTTTGTAAAGTCCCCCGCGACACAGGAATATATTCATAATGCGGGAGTTGTCTTTTATAATAAAAAACAAAAAAAAAAAATAGAGTGCGTACTTAAATAAGTAAGGCATCCCAAAAATATACATATGAAGCCATTCATTATTTAACCATTACAACCAACTTACTACCTCTTCCGAGAATTTTTAATCTGAAATATTTGGTGTGACATTAGTTTAAAATGCATTTGTAAACAACTTTCTTATCCCATTATAATTATTTTCATTACATAAGCGACACCATTATGAAATATAAAATTAACTTAAATTATTTCTCAATTCCAGTGACCGGCTACGAGTCAGATTGCGAGGAGTGGAAGAGCAGCCGATCCCAGTTCTCAACAACAGCGTTTGACAGCCTTGCAAGACCAACTAAAATGGCAATGGCTCTCACTCTTCGAAAACCCCAAAGATTGGAACCTGTGCCCCAGTATTATAGGCTGTCGAGTGAACAAAAGCCAAAATTGACACCGATGCCATTCCGCCCGAGTAACTTCATCCAAAGACCACCTCGTCTACCAAGACCGAACACAGACATGAAAAGAAACATGCTGAATACGGATCATCGGAAATTTACTTCTTTACAGAGCTTGGAAATGCCTAAGAAATTATGTGAACAGAAAAAACCAGTTGATCCTAAGAAGAATTATTCAAATATTTCACACAGAATAACCGGCTTAACAAACAAATTAAGGGATCTTGGTAATCCTAGTAACACGATTGGTAGATTTAAAGCTCAGTCTCACGGAGACGTTGCAAATTTAAAGCCAGTATTAAAGACGGGTCAAGATGGAGCAAAGAGGTCCGTTGTGAGGACCTGCAGCGCCGAACCACCAAAGAAAGTCACGTTCAGTGCATTCGCCACAGTCCAGGTTGTGTAACATAAAAATGCAATGACTAATTTTTTGTTTCATTCAATGATTTGGATTTTCAATGGTTCTTTGAAATAGTTTAACGTGTTAAGTATGACATAACATAGTGTTCACGGTGTCGTTTATAAGTTTTTCGCCATTTTAATCATACTAATGGATTATTAGTGAGATCAGACATAGTTCTTTGATTATATCTAATATACTAATCCAAGGACTGACTGATATAAGAAATATTATTACATGATTAGGTTATAGATGAGGTCGACACTTATTTGTAATGTTGTAATGTTTGTCTAAAAAGGCGGTCAGGCCGGGAATTCTGTGTAAATATAATTTAAAATGGCGTCGATGAGAACGCGTAGTTTTATGTTTAAATTAACATTTATTTACTGTATGTTGTTAGACAAATAAAATATATTTTTTTGCTCTGCGCGCATAAAAGTCTTCTGATATATCAAGCCCTGATATATCAAGCCTTAAGCTTTGATATATCAAGCCTTATATTTCCTTTACGTTTTACGAAACAAAATGATTACTATATATTCTACAAAATAATTTTAATCTTCACTTCATTTAGTAATTGACGTCCATATAATTTCTGTTAAGTAATTTGATTCTGATCTGACAGTTGAGATAGATAAAGCCAAGTATATGTATTATTAAAAAGTCACTAATGAGCAATTACGACAGTACTCGACAACTGACTAAACTTGACTAAACATCAATCCAATAATTAACTCTCACCGAATTCAGTTTGAATGGGACCTAAAGTTAAGCCATACTCTCCAAAATAGATAAAGAATTCTAGAAATCCGATCATAAATCACGGCGTTCTGAGGGAACCAACTTGAAAGAAAACAACCGAATCGAGAACCTTCTATTTTTGAAGTCAATTAAAAAATAAAGGATGTCAACAAAAAAAGATCGATATCAATGATGTATTTTATATGGACCACTTCCCTGATAAGGACGCATCTATTATCGATCGAATCGATATAACGAGTTTGTCGTAATTCGATAATTATTTATATAGTTTAAGTAAGCGAATCGCATCACGTATGTATGTTATGAAATGCCACCAATCTTTATGCGAGAGATTGCTGTCGGTCAGTTTCAGACAAAAATGGGAATTCGATAACATACTTATGTTGTTTATTATTTATTCTCAACGAATATATATTATACACAGTATCAACAATAAAGGCCTTAAAGCCTTTTAATTTTCTATCTCTTTCTGTATTCTTGTTCACTGTTACCCTTATCAAATCATTGAATCTTTCTACCCTAGAGCTTTATAATATTGATATTTAGTTGTTTTATCTTCTATTAAAAAACATTTATTATACATTATCTGGTCAATATACTTTATGCATCCAATCAAATTGGTGTTATTTAAAATTCCTTGGTATATTATTGAAAAAAAGTTATTTTTTTTAAATGTGGTAACCTAGTCGACAAAATTTGTTTTTTTTTAAGGACTTTTCTTTGATTTTGTATGCTTTTAGCTTCTACATGTAATGTATGTGTGTTATTGTGTATTTGTGTATATATATTCGTAGGTACACGTAATGAATAATTACTTCTCTGAAAATGTTGTATAATCTATAGGTTTTATGTACTGTAAATAATTGTAGCAATGTCGGTAAAATGATAATTATTAAAGTGTCTAATGTATAACTTCAATAATTCTTAAGCACCTATATACGATTAGATTAACTTAAACATAATTAAAGTTGTAAAATGTATTTGAATTAATATAAAGTCATAATTAGTTTGCATAATAATTATTTCGCATAGGATTTTTCGCATAAAATTATTCAGTGTGTATTATTAATAACTGTTTAAAATATTTTTATTGTTATAACTTGTTTCAATTTCGGTTTTGTTTTGAAAAATAATAAAATGTTTGTTTACAATATTCTCTTTTTTTATCCTTTATTTTTTATAATCTACGAGTATATACGAAATGGAGGCCAAGTTTATCGATATGTCAAGGACACAACTTTAAAAACAGAATTGTAGAGTGGTACATAGGAACATTGCCGTGTAGTGACGGATTAAGAATACGAAATGTCACTACCCCAATTCATCCTAATTCACTAAGGGCGCAAAACAACGCAGGACACCAGCACTGCAAAAAGAAGGAAAACTTGACACAAACCCTATACCAACCCGTCTGGCCAGCGTGGTATAGTAGGCCGAAACCTCCTTTCTAAGGAGAGGCCTATGTCCAGCAGTGGATTATTAAAGGCTGTTGATGTCACATAGGAACATCATTATATAGTTGCAAAACCATTCAAACCTTCAAGAAAAGAACGTACTCCTCAATTTTTTTTATGACATCGGCTTCGTCGGAACGCCTACAACTCAGGAGTCATGAGTGCTTTGCCAGCCTTTGAGCCCACCTCAATGGCCGGTAAAGCACCTGTGACCCTTTTTTCGCAGTTTTAAAGGCCATATCAATCGGAACTGAATTATGCTACACAGGTTGATTTTACAATTTTAGAGTTCCAATAATCCAAGTCTCTTATTTCAATTATCTTTGTTTGCGAAATTACTCTACATTCTTGTAAATTTTATTTTTCTATATCTTTATCTAAATAGTATTTATTTATTTCATCAATCATAAATCTTTACTAATCCACTGCTGGACATAAGCCTCTCCTTAGAAAGGAGGTTTCGGCCTACTATAATACGCCGACCAGACGAGTTGGTATAGGGTTTTATTTCAAGTTTTCCTTCTCTTTGCAGTGCTATTGTCCTGCGTAGTTTACACCCTCAATCGGCTCTTACGACACCCACGGAATAAATAGTGTCACCACCCGACACTGTGTTTTTAATCCGTCACCACATGTTATTTATTTATTAAAATTAAATCTGACACCAATGTTAGCAAAACCGCTGATCAGTATTACATTAGTGTGTGGAGGAACGGGTCATGACCCTCCAACACCTCCGACCAGGCGAGGTGATCATGCCTGGCGGGCCACCGCCTAACCGTTGTTGTTGGGAAGTTATATATTAAATATATGCTAATCGACGAGAGAGTTATTCATAACGCCAGACAGAAATAGCGTCAGCGTTACTTCGTAGTTGTGTGTGTCTTCCATAGATGGCACTCCAGTGTGATTTTTGTTTCATTGTATGTGGAAGTCGCCATAGGTGTGACCTAAACTTTTTTAATGATTGTTAGGTCAGAATTTACTTTTAAATAATTTATTATGCTTACTGCATTGGTCACGAACAATTCTTTAAATTATTTCTGGTCAAGTTAATTGCCTTCTGTACTTTTATAATTAGTCATAATAACGTGATAAGTTACTCGATTGGTAGTGCTGTAATCAGCGTTACCTCGCTGTTTATATGATTACTTAATGTCAAAATAATTCCGATAACAAATAATAAACAACTATTATATAATAATAGCAACATGAAGACTTTGTGACATAAAACTAACATAATCACGTTCTTGATGTTTTATTCCACACGGCCGATAAAGGGTTAATATGGCGTATGTAGTCTATCCACATTGTTACAAGTTAATTATATAGGTAATATTCTGTGATCTATACACACAAAATTACTCGCCCAGACTTACCGAGTGCTGAACCAACGTAGAGCCAGAGCCCTTGGCAGCTGATACTTATTATGTTGTAAGCACCCACTGTGTACATTTTTTTGGAAATTTTGCACCTAAGGGGGTAAAATAGGGCATGAACTGTTGTGTGGCAGTTCGTGATGTTCAAGTAAAAAAAACGAAATGCGAAGCCGAGGGCAGTAGCTAGTGTTTTATACAAGGGTTTTGGCTTACTATGCCACGCTGGCCAGACAGGTTGGTATAGGGTTTCTGTAAAGTTTTCCTTCAGTGCTGGTGTCCTGCGTTGTTTTGCGCCCTTAGTCGGCTCTTACGACACCCACGGGATGAATTGGGGTAGTGACATTCCGTATTCTTAATCCGTTACTACACGGACAACTTAAATATTACTATGCACTATTTAATGCATGACACAATAAAATCTTTGTTGAAACGTAGAATTTATCAGTGAAACAATAATGTAAATTAGTTAGTTACTTTTTAAAGAAGCCGCTGCTAACATTAATACATTCCTACATTAATTTTCATTCATTCCACAAGAAGTTCAACTGAAGTTTCAACTTCAGCCACAAATTTGTTTCGACTCTCGATGACGTTTTCCCAATAAATATTAGGACGGCCGGTATAAAAGACATCTTCCGTGCTATCATCTGCATAGCAATGGATGCCACTAGTTCGTAACATATCATTGATATGCAGAAGAAACAGTGTGGGTGATAGCACACAGCCTTGCGGGACACCAGCACTTCTAATTTAGTATAGTCTGTTTTATTAATATTGTTGTTGATGGTACTCTGACGACACAATTCTCTTAACTAATGCAGACATTTTTTAAATGTTACTGTTTTCTTTGTTTTAGTTTCCAATAAAGCTTTTATTATTGTTATTATTATATCGATGTAAGGGTCGCATAATAAAAAGTGTCACATGCATCTCGGCTGCACGGATGGTGTAGTGGTTTACGTCACCTCCCCGCTTCCTACAGCCCTGAGTATTGTAAGTTCGATTACCACATAGGAGTACACTTTGTGTGATCCACATTTATTGTTATGAGTCTGGGTATTCTTTGTGTCCGTTTCATTCATATTATCATATTCATATTCTAAGTGCGGGCGTTTTCTTTAAAAAAAAACTATTGGTTTTATGCGCCATTATTTATATTCTATTTGTTTTATATTCTAAGAGCCGAATAAAGAAGCAAACTAAGCAGGAAACCTTGACACAAACCCTATACCAACCCATCTGGCCAGCGTGGTATAATAGGCCAAAACCGCCTTTCTAAGGAGAGGCCTATGTCCAGCAGTGGACTATTACAGGCTATTGATGATGATGGCACATAAAACATTTAAGTAGCAGTGTGAACTTATCTTTACTTATTATCGAATAATATTATCCCAAAGTCGAATGTCAGGGTTATCACATCAGTATAAAAGCAAATTATTGTTCTCTAAAACTGTGTTTTTCCATCTCGCTCTATCAAAGTTATTGGAAAGAGATGTAGAATAGGTGATATTAGTCACGTAGACGATATCGAGTTATGAGTTTCATGAGATTTTTCGTTTAGTGTTGTGAAAACCACCGATACGAAGGTAAGTGCATAAAAAATTTACGTATAGCCGAAAATAATAATAATAAAAAGTAAAAGTGGCATTGGTGCTAATTTTGTTGTTCGAAAACTCTCTAAACTAAACTGAAAATCCCAAAAAAAATTTAGTCCTGCCAAATTCTACGTTTTCAGAACAGGAAACGTTATTTGACAGGACGAAACAAATTTTTTGTGATTTTTAGTTTATTTTAGAGAGTTTTCGAACAACAGAATTAGCACCATTATCTATTATATAATAACTGTAATCTTATATTTCTGAATTTACAATATAATGTGACATTTTTAGTAACCTCATAATTACAAAATTATGTAAAACAATTCAATAGTTCTAATATCTAATCTTCAAAGAACAATGGCAGAAACATATTTACCTAAAACTTAAGCGTTTAAAAAATCGAGTCACAGTAAACTTAATCAAAATTTTTTCTATGATTTATCATTACACCACCATGTGTTGTATAAGTCTTATAAGAGATAAGATATTTTTGAAGATTTTATTTGACCTAAGACTAGGGATGCGTGGTGGCAATATTATATTATGGAACAATTTTTCGATAATCGATTCTTATAGCTTTGGCTGAAATATTTACCGAAGGTTCACTATTATGATTATGAATTTGCTTCTGCCCACGTCTTCACTCGTACGGTAGAGTGACTGAATTAACATAATTAGAAATGATTTAAAATATTTTTGACTCTCTTTAAACGATTTTAAACACACTAAAGAAATAGAATATAGTTACGTTATTTTCCACTACACAGTGTGATGAGAAAAATACATTGTCATTGATAACGGCACATAAATAGACATACATCGATATTTTCAAAATGTCGATACGTAGTCGTTTAGTACATATCTCTTAATCTGTGGTTTAGATCCTGACAAGTTCCGGACTCACCACGTTTGTTATTTTATTTTTGTTTAATTTATTGTTAAACTCGAATAGATGTTATGCTTTAATTTTTTTTATTTCATATACTGTAATGATAATGAAAATAATATTTTCGGCTATCTGACACACAACGCCATCTAGTTTCAAACAAAACATTAACAATATGTTAGTACTTAACCTCGAAACATTCAAAATCCAATATCTTTTTTCCTAGACTTCTTTCGCAAGTAATTTTGATATGAGAATGGTCAAGAATAAATTCTCAAGTGTTAAGGATTTTTTGATATTTAAACGCTAACATTTTAGGTCAAATAAAATTATGTATGGGGACCTGCCATTGTCCTTTTATCACTTATACCGAAAGTGAATTAATGGTTTTTTTATATCCATAGATTGATCGACAATTATTTCTTGTGAGAATTGAAACCCATCCAAACTCGAATCAAACGGACTCTTAGAACTGCAGGGACAGATTTTAGTGACCGTAACATACTAGTCAAAATATCAGAATAGCGATCAAGTGGCTGTGGATTCTACCCCCACCGAGTGCAATACCCTCGTGAACCCACCACTTACACAAACTTAGCTTAGCTTGAGGATAATATAATTATATACCTCTTTATTGTACACTAAAAAAAACACAAAATAATTTAACATTATGCCGAATACAATTATTGTAAGCCCTATCTTACCTTGGCAATGTCTTAAAAGTTACCAGGTACCTTTCCTAGTTGTCTTATTAAAAAAAAACAGCTTGTCGAAGAGAAAGAGAAGAGAAAGAGTTGCAATAATAAAAATAAGAGGGAACCCGCCTCTACCAACCCTTTCTCAAGCGCCTTTAGAAAAACCCATTATCCTTGGGTCTCTCTACTATATCAGTAAAGAATGGTCTGCTCGTCTGTTTGTTCTAAGTAGGCAGTTAGTTTTGCTACGAGAATATCTTTTATGACATTTGTGAGATCGAGAATATATCAGAACTGAATTTTAAACAAATTTTAATACGACCATGTTGTTCTGGTCCAAGAGGTATTTCACTGCAAATAATATATATATCTTTTGAGCGGTTTACTTTGCTATAACTTTTAATAATCTCATAACAGACGAATTGTTTAATATTTTTTTGTGAAGTAGGTTTAATAGCTGTCCTCTGCGTGTATCTAAGGCATACGACACATTGAGGATAACGAACTTTAGCAAAGAAATGTGGTTCTGAAACGGAATTATACAATGTCTTACAAAAAGGTGTACTCATAGTTTATAGGCTTTATATATTTAAATAGTCTATAAATCGTTGAATCCGCTTTAACTAAAAGTTAGAAAAAACTTTTATATTTCGAAAGTTTTTGTCTGTGTGTAGGTATGTTTCTAAACAATATATACATCAATTATTGTATTGTTTACAATTACGAAAAATGTTTTATTGATAAATTGTTAAGTTTACACCATCAATAAAGATAAATCTTTTTTTAAACTTAGTGTTACATTAAACCTAAAAAAAACAATTCGGATTTTTAGAATTATCCTTGTTTGCCAAAACAGATACATACATGTATAGAAATATGTATATAAAGGGGTAAACAGAGAGGGGTGCCATTAAAAATCCACATTTTGTGAACTATAATGTGGTCCCTCACTCGTAGAAGAAATCAAACCTATTGCTTTTAGCCGGATATTGAAAAAATACACTTAGTCTGAAATTAATAGAAGGAATGTTAAACCTTAACCTTTTCTAATAAAACAGATGAATTGGGAAGTATAAGCAACAGCCTGATCAGATCATACCGTCGCCATCTAATTCAAAGCCTAAATCAAATTTACTGATCATTTTATAAATGTAAGGTGTTTTTAATTATATGTGCAGTCACCATGTCCCTGGTAGCGCAAGCCTTCCAGTCCAGCAAGATTGTGCCCGATGTCATCCCGACAGCGCCGACAGTCAACATTCAGGTTAGAATCTAATTTCTAATATCTTTGTGTGTAAAGTGTTGTGGGTGATTCTGACCTCTACATCTTACGTTTCCACGCCTTAATTTAACCGATCATCATGATAATTTGCGGAAAGGAGCACAGAAAGAAAAAGACAACAATACAGATATTTTTTATAGTAAACGCCTTGTCATATTGATAAGGTAAGCCGATAGGTTAACCAATTCAAATCTTACCATTTTGAAATGGTAATTTTTGTAAAAACTGGTAATTCAATATCAATATTACTTTTTATTACTGGCAACATGCATAAATTAAAATTAATAAAGTAATACTTATTTGATAACCTTTCTTTTACGTTCTTCTATACTTTTTTAAATTATTATTTGTTGTTTATTCCTTCGTTTCTCTATTTTTAGTCTAGTTTTGTTTATTTTATGTTGTAAATAAACAGTGCTGTATCACATTTTTTTAAATATTGTTGTAGCTCTCTGGTTATTTCAAACACTGGCCGTTAGATTCTTTGAATTTTTTTTTCTCACGAGGCTCAACTATTTTGAAACAGGCGGTTATAGACCGACATATATGCAGAGACGATATTATCTGACATCCATTTTTTTTAATAACTTTACAATTGTTTGTGTGTTACGAATACGTGAGTACGGTACGGTATAGATAAGCGGTTTTATTCTGTGACACTGTCATAACAGGTCGCTTCACCTCTTGATATAGTACCTCCGCGTGACCCGAAACTAGTTGGACAACTGAATTATCTTAAGTAAATCAGTATCCCTTTAAACTTTTATTCTAAACGAAGGAAAAGCGACTTATGTAAATTATTCGAAAAAAGATTGCAGTACAGACAATATGATAAACCTGTATGATAATTATGGTTGTTTTTCAATAAAAATTAGGTGCAAAATTTCCAAAAAAATCTTTCTAAATGGGTGCTTACAATATAAAGGATATCAGTTGCCAAAATTTCAGGTTTGTAGCCCCAACGGTTTAGGGTCTGCGTTGATGAATCACTCAGTCCAGTCAAGACAAGTTATTTTAAATTTATAGATGAGTTTTACTCACAGAAGTTTGTGTGTTCTGTTTTTGTTTTAAATGTAAAATATGTGTTTCATAAATATTATTAGATTGGTTTACGTCATGAACTAAACTTAGCTAATGGAAAAGAGACAGGTAATTTGTTGGTTTAAATCATTAACGCAATGTCGTCGTGTTGTGATAATTATATTAAACTTTTAAAGATACGAGTATGTAGTTGTCATAAGTATCGCTAAGTGTTAAAATACATATATTACGTATGTCCAGTGTTTTGTTAGGTTCTATTAACACGTCTTTATTAACTTATAACACAGCTTATAACAATTAACTATGTAAACAAATCTTGAATGTTATAATATTACTAATTCGGGAATTAACGCTATCAGTAGCTATTAGGACTCGAGGGGCTCTTGGCTAAGTGGCATCTGTATAAATATCGGTAGTTGAAAATATATTACTTTTTTTGTGGAAATGATTTATTTATTATTATTATAATAAATTATTAAAAGAAATAAATAAATTAAAACAAATTATAAAAAAAATAAAATTATAAAAAAAAAGAAATAAATAAATTACTAAAATAAGAAAAAAAAAAAAAATAAATTACACATCTTTATAATTTGAAAATTTACGTTTGGCTTACGTTGGCGTAATGGCTTGGCGTAAACATAAAATAGCAGCATTGAGGACCTTTTTTTTTTCTTTTTTTTTTCCGTGCGGAAATCCCCTCGGATACCACCTGTCGGTGGCATGTCGGACTCGAACCGACTAAAACCGCACGCCGTCTCGGGTACTAATAGCCGGGGAACCAGGTATACCCTAGAAATGAAGTCCCTGGTACACAGCATTGAGGCCCTGCTCTGTCGTATGAAAACGCCAACAACAACAATGATGTTTTGCGTGGCGTGACGTAACACTTTCTGATTAGTTCGCTGTCACGTGACTTAATGCCTATTTTGTTCGAATTTATTTAAACAAATATTAATAATCTTTAACTTTTATGAGAAATATACTGTTTTTTTCTTATCTATGTCTCTCGTTTATAACTTGAAACTATAAACCAAGCAATTTGTTATTAGTGGACACAAGTCTATTGCCTGACGTTTCGAACAGGCTACTAGTAGGTCCAAGTACTTAGATTTTAAGTAGGTATGCAGCTTAACGAGAACTGCCCTTTATTTTTTAATAATCATAACTTGACATAGCTCCCAAACTGCTATCTGATCTGATCTAAGCAGAGCCTGTACAATATTGCCTGTAATGTATTTCCAAATACATTTACCTACATTAATCCCGGACTGAATTATTGTGATCATCACAGCATACAATTATTACTTTGTGTACCGCAACTAATTAATTACTAAAAACTATGTCCACAAAGAAATTGACTAAATTTAGATTTGCGGACGCCGTACTGTAAAAGTGTAAAATTAAGCAAATTCTTCCTTCGCTTTTTTACTGTAGAGCGCAGACATTTGCGATTTCATTTTTCTCAAATGTCAAGAACTCCACAATACTTACTATCTTTTTTACTCATTATGCGTTAATTGTATTTGGTTTATTATAGTAATAAAATTATTTTGAATACAATTTTAAGTGGGTAAGGTCAGACATGCCTGTAAATCAACGATAAATTTTACTGCGGTCTAAAAATACACACAAATTCACAATTACATAAATTGCAAGCTTCGTCCTCCTACAAACTTACAGACACTGATGCACTCAAGCTCTCGGCAAGTCAAGACTAAGCTCAACTCTATAACGAAATTCTAAAATATTATTGTATTGAACGTGGTTTAAAAATGAACAAGACATAGCAATTCATGGAAACCCCTTTATTCCCCAACAGATTCTTGCAATAGTAATAATTTAAATTATTTTCTTCTAGTTGAAGTACCCGAGCGGTGCGATCGCGTCTCAGGGCAATGAGCTGACTCCAACGCAGGTGAAGGATCAGCCCAGCGTATCCTTTGAGGCTGATCCCAACTCCTATTACACACTCATCTTCACAGGTCTGTTACTTTATAAATGGAACCCATATCAGGTATTTAAATAATAAACTTTACACGACGTAGGATTGTTTATTTCTTTCACTACTTTTTTGGGAGAAACTCTGATAACAGAACTATTGAATAAAACATAATACTATCCCAGTTATAATTATATTTAATCACTATGTATCAAGCAGTTTTAATAATTCAAATTCTTCAGCAATGTCTCAATAACAATTGAGGTAGGTAAAGTCCATTCAACCTTTTTTGTTATGACATCAAATACGGTAAATTTATTTTTGCGCCATCTAACGGATACAAGCAGTACGACTTCAATAAAAAATCTTAAATAACACTCGGAAAAACTAAAGCATGTGTATATGAATTTACTTACGTATTTATGTAGTAATTTAGACTACATATTGTGTGTACTTTTTACAAATTATGATTGTAAACTTTCTTCATCAGACCCTGACAACTATGATGGTCCCGAGCAAGTGTACCGCGAATGGCACCACTGGCTAGTTGTAAACATCCCTGGAGGCGACGTGTCCAAGGGTGATGTGCTGTCTGGTTACATCGGCTCAGGACCTCCCCAAGGCACCGGCATCCATAGATATGTGTACATTGTATACAAACAACCAGGGAAACTGAATTTCAACGAATCTGTATTAGACAATAAGTAAGTATCACACTGATATTGTGAGCGTGTCTGTTTGTAGATTTGTTACTTCTATACTCTGAGACGGCTATACCAATATTAATAAAACTAGAGGTACCTGACAATCTGGATTAACACGTCATAGATACCGAAAAAATATAGTGTTCCCGTGGGATGAGCATAGTAGGCCAAACCTCCTTTCTAAGGAGAGGCTTATGTCCAGCAGTGGACTATTAAAGGCTGTTGATGTGGGATGAGCAAGTAAATGAGTTGGTTTATTCAAGTTAATGAGTTTGACCAGCTGTAAATATAAACCTTGTACTCTGGATACTACTGCTGTTTAATCCCTTTTTAATAGTTAGGCTACTGAACGCATAATAGCACAGGTGATTACACCTACCTATTAAGGTTTCCATCGGTTTAAGGCAATAGGCCTTTACTTACATAATTGGGAGATGCCAATTATGTAAGTAAAATTATAATCAACAAAGTGTAAGTATTTCAATACGCTCCTGTACACCCCTTCGGGGACGAAAACGTGAGTGTATGTGAAAACACAAAGCATTACTCCTTAATGTGGTGTATATAATGCTCCTTTTTAAATAACAGATCCATCAACGGTCGTGCCGCATTCTCCACGAAGAAATTCGCCGAGAAATACAATCTAGGAGCGCCTGTTGCAGGAAACTTCTACCGCGCACAGTTCGACGACTACGTGCCCCTCCTTTACAAGAGCTTGGGCGCTTAAATACTTACACATCTTATTGTTATGTCACATATTTATAATGTTTTGTATAAAGAGTGTGTGTGATTGTTATTTGTTTTAATTATTTAACTGTATTTAATTTTTTTTGTTCAAGATGTTATATTGAAATCGAACCGACCATAATATGCCTTTGCCGTCGTTTAAAAATGTACTCTCTGAACTCCAGACAGATGTCATTACCTGTGGGGATTTTAACTATCTGTGGTCAGATCCAGAATTACGATTTTATGTCCAATACCTACATAACAATACCTACCTACTACAGGCGTAGTATATAATCTAATTGGAATCCAAAATACTTTTAAAATGTTTTTTTAAAAAGACACGTTACAGTGTAATAAATAATCATCATCATCATAATCATCATCAGCCTATCGCAGTTTACTGCTGGACATAGATATCTCCTATTGCACGCCACTTAGAATGATTTTGGGCTACTCGCATTCAGCTCCTGCTAGCCCTGGTCCACAACTTCAAAGTCGCTCAACTTGCTGTAGAAAGGGCTATGCTCGGCGTTTCTCTAAGGGGATCACATCAGGAATGAGGTGATCCGGCAGAGAACCAAGGTCACCAAATAGCTTACCGGATTGGCAAGTTGAAGTGGCTAATATGGCCAGCCCGCTGGCTGGCCATATTAGCCGCAAATCGTAATGTAATAAATAAACAAAGAACAAAAACAAACTCGAACTTCTTTAACGTAATGAAATATATTATAATGTAAAAGATATGCATCTATAGATCTATTTTCACCCAAGGGTATTTACGTATCCGGATATTCGGCATTATTAAAATAATATACCTACCTATTATACAGTTATTATTAAGTGTCTTAACGATTTCCCTAATACCTGACTAGTTATTTATGCGTATGTTACAACATACTGTAACTTATTCCAAAGTAGAACAAAAAAAAAGCAATAGAAAATATATTTTGTATGACTATTAAATCGTTTCAGACTTCATTTGCACAAGTGTACAACGATATTTTCAGTCTCATTTGGTAACTATAATACCCATTATTGTTGCTATTCACTCATTACATAAAACTCCCACACACTGTTTGAACGTCTGTGTACATGTATCGACGTGTCCATATTTTTATTAAAAAAAAAAACATTTTTTAAAGGAAATGGCACTAATTATCAGACTATTGAAACATTTTCTCATTTTATTCATAGCAGATGGCATTTTGGTAAATTTAAGGGTACTTGCTAATGAAAATTCTACAATAGCGATAAGTTTTGCGGTCCACGAAGTGGTTCCTGATGTCATTCCGCAGGCCCCTGACTCCTTTATTTATGTAAGTATTTATTTTATCAACTAATTTTAATATAATTGAATCGAGACACAATACTGCATCCAATCTGATTTTGAACAGCTGATTTTAAACCTAAATAAGCTCTTATCATCAATAGTCTTTCTAATAATGATGAAACAAAACTGTTAAACTAACAATTTGTATAAAAAATATGTTTATAACTTTCTGATTGCGAGCCTCGTACCTTCGCAGCGTGTGGTACATACGAGTAATGTGTCCACTTTTGTCTTAGAGAGCTACTTTGATCCAGATATGATTAGTTTAAAATAGCTTCAGTCGTTTTAACAGTACTGATATTTTATATAACACCAAGTTAATGGCCCTGGAGTCTAGTGTCTCTACCTTTTTCTCATTTTGCTGACGTCAGAGTCTTATTCTTTTATAGCGTGAGGTGCTAGGCCTGTGAAACAATGGTACATTGCGTAAAACCACGACTATTTGGCAATCCTAAAATATTTTCTTTATTTTATTTTTATAAATAATATGTGAGGCACGGCAATACCACCCTCAAAACGAGTATAAACCAATAATAGGCACATCCGTACCATCATTTTCTTAAAGACGGTTCACTACCAAGATACAAGCCTCTTCCGACTCCTCCTGCATCTCCTGACTGAAAAACTGCATTTTATTGACATGATTTTGATGAAATCTATGTTTATTATACAATTATAACAATAGTAAAATATCGATTTAAGAAGAGAACAGTTTTATAGCTCGGCAATTATAATTTCATTTCCAATGGCATTTATAGTACCATTAAATACTTCAATACGTCTAAGTGTAAAAGGCGTCATCTATACTAATATTATAAAGCTGAAGAGTTTGTTTGTTTGTTTGTTTGTTTGAACGCGCTAATCTCAGGAACTACTGGTCCGATTTGAAAAATTATTTCAGTGTTAGATAGCCCATTTATCGAGGAAGGCTATAGGCTATATTTCATCACGCTAAGACTAATAGGAGCGGAGCACCAATGAAGAATGTTTCAAAAACGGAGAAAATTTATTACTATTCAGAGACGCAGACGAAGTTGCGCGGGTCAGCTAGTCATGTATAAAAACTACGTTTGTAAGAGCTGCAGTCCCCAGGAGGTTTCGCAACCTGTATAACATATATCGATGCCCTCTCTATAGCAATAACAACAATAGCATTTTCTTAATATAGCAAACAGCACAGAAACTTTTTAGATAAACACTAGTAAAATAGAAAAAGAACACATAAGTTTTACGTGAGTCTTCATTCATCAACAGCCTTTAATAGTCCACTGTTGGACATAAGCCTCTCCTTAGAAAGGAGGTTTTGGCCTACTATACCACGCTGGCCAGACGGGTTGGTATAGGGTTTGTTTCAAGTTTTCCTTCTTTTTGCAGTGCTGTTGTCCTGTACAGTTTGTTCCCTTAGTCGGCTCTTACGACACCCACGGGATGAATAGGGGTGGTGACATTCCGTATTCTATTGGTATGCTATGGGTATCTATTCTTTTTTTGGACAATCCTTTCGGTTCTTCAGCTCCTTGGGGATATCATGCTATCAGCTATCATGATGATGTAGGAGATTGAAATCATTCCTAATACGATAAGTTGATATTCGTAGACATAGAGAATATTTATAAGTATCGTGCCATGTTTTAATACATATTTTGTTCAATATTTTTATACAAAGTGGCTACCTGCCTTTAAAAAGAACGGTACTGGATATAGTAACTGTCATTCGGCAACTACAGGTTGAATATCCAAGAGGAGTATACGCCAATGGAGGCAACCTGTTAACGCCAGCTCTGGCAAAGATCAAACCCATCGTTGCTTGGAACGCAGATCCCAACCAGTTCTACACACTCGTCATGATTGGTGAGCCAAAGGATAATAAAAATATCCTTCTGTCTGTTTTTTCTAGTTTATCATCATCAACAGCCTTTACCAGTCCACTGATGGACATAAGCCTCTCCTTAGAAAGGAAGTTTTGGCCTACTATACCACGCTGTCCAGACGGGTTGGTATAGGGTTTGTGGGGACCGCCTCGGGGAGTTGTTCGACGCTAGCTTGGCGTCGGGACGCTTCCCTGAGTGCTGGAAGAGCGGGAAGCTGGTCCTATTGAGGAAGCCGGGACGGCCTGCCGATTCGGTCGCGGCCTATAGGCCCATCGTGCTGCTGGACGAGGCGGGCAAATTGTTTGAGAGGGTTCTTTCTGCCCGCATCGTCCGGCACCTCTGCGAGGTGGGCCCCGATCTGTCGGACGCCCAATTTGGTTTTCGGGCGGGGCGTTCGACGGTCGACGCCGTGTTGCGCCTGAGGGCCGTGACCGAAGAGGCCGTGAGCTGTGGCGGCGTGCTGTTGGCGGTGTCACTGGACATCGCCAACGCATTCAATAGTCTGCCATTCAGCTGCATCAGGGAAGCACTCCACTATCATGGGGTGCCAAAGTACCTGAGGCGGCTGGTGGCAGACTATTTAGAGGAGCGTACCGTCGTGTACGAGGACCGAGAAGGTAATCTGAGGTGTCGGCCCATGTCGTGCGGTGTTCCACAGGGGTCTGTTCTTGGACCCCTCTTGTGGAACATAGGGTACGACTGGGCCCTTCGCGCCGATTTCCCCCCCGGGCTGGGTGTAATCTGTTACGCAGACGATACCCTCGTGACAGCCCGGGGGGCAAACTTCCAAGAGGCGGCGCGCCTGGCCACAGGGGGAGTCTCCCTGGTGGTCGGGCGCATTGAGGCGCTGGGCTTACGGGTGGCCCTAGATAAGACGGAGGCCCTGTTATTCCATGGGCCCCGTCGTGGTCCACCCCCTGGCGCCTCCATCGTGGTCAACTCGGTCCTCGTACCGGTTCGGGCCCAGATGAAATATCTGGGCCTGATCCTCGACGGGAGGTGGCTCTTCGACGAGCACTTCCGACAGCTTGCTCCAAAGCTGGTCGGCGCTGCGTCTGCCCTAGGGCGACTCTTGCCCAATATGGGTGGACCCAGCGTCGCGACAAGACGGCTGTACACGGGGGTTGTCCGGTCAATGGCACTGTACGGTGCACCGGTGTGGGCGGCGGCTCTGACCGCCCAGAATAGGGTACGCCTCTGGCGCCCTCAGAGGGTAATGGCGGTCAGAGCCATACGCGGTTACCGCACCGTTTCGACGGAGGTGGCATGCGCATTGGCCGGAACTCCCCCGTGGGATTTGGAGGCGGAAGTGCTCGCCGAAGTTTATCGGCGAGTGGCTGACTTCCGGGCGGAGAGCGGATTTCGCCCTCCGCCCGAGGATGTGCGCGAGTGGCGCGAAGCCGCTCGCCGAGCCACGATGGCTCGTTGGTCGTTCCGGCTGGAGACTCCACGCGCTGGCTTTGCCGCCGTGGAGGCTCTCCAGCCGGTCATCGCCGAGTGGGCAGGGCGGCAGCACGGGACCCTTTCCTTCCGGCTGACGCAGGTGCTTTCCGGGCATGGTTGCTTCGGAAAGTACCTGCACACGGTCGCTAGGAGGGAACTGAGTCCCGCCTGCCACCACTGCGACTGCAGTGAGGACTCGGCCCAGCACACGCTGGCGGTCTGCCCCGCATGGGCGGCGCAGCGCCGGGCCCTCACTGCAGTCATCGGAGTGGATCTCTCACTACCGGCCGTAGTACGCTCCATGGCCGGTAGCGACAGTTGTTTTACCGCGGTCGCAACCTTCTGCGAGGTAGTAATCTCGCGGAAGGAGGCGGCGGAGAGGGCCCGGGAGGACGACCTCCACTCGGACCCGATCCGCCGCCGGCGAACCGGGCGGCGGAGGCCCGCCCACCACAGCCTCATGCCGCCCTGAGTGTGGCCGCGGGTGGACGGGGTGGGTTTCCCCTCCACCCGCATTAGTTGGCCAGCCGCGAGGGGGCGGCGTCCGCGTGTGCCGGACGTCGCCTATAGAGAGGAACAACACTGAGACGGAGCCCGCACCAGGAGCGGGCTGGCGCTAGGAGGGGTCCGGATGTCTTAACAACAGCTGTTCCCGGATCCCTCCTGTTACAGGCGCAGAGTGGCACACCGTGTGATTTTAGTCGGTCCGAGTCCGACACACCACCCCGCCGCAAACCCCGGAGGGGTGACGGTCCGAGGGGATTTCCACACGTTAAAAAAAAAAAAAAAAAAAAAAAAAAAGGGTTTGTGTCAAGTTTTCCTTCTCTCTGCAGTGCTGGTTTTATGAGTAGTTTTTACGACACCCACGGGATTAATAGGGGTTTATTAACAGTTAGTAATTTAATAAAATAAAATCCAAATACGACTTATATACGAGTAAATACATACGTCATGAAGTTATTATAGTACGCGTAGCGTTATCGGCAAAATGTCACTCAGTCTTTTGTCTGGTGCCTTAGGAAAGGGACGAGTACTCAAACCCTATTCTCGATACCAGTCGACTCAAAAAAAGCCGTTAAATTATTATATTATTTGGATGCAGCCGCAGCGTAAACACAACGAGCTGTGCTTGAAAAATTCATAGCATGTCCAGAACCTATAGCTTTAAGATACTTTAATGACGAAATCTATGGTTACAGATCCTGACGCACCATCGCGCCATAACCCGAAGTTCCGTGAGTGGCAGCATTGGCTCATAGGCAATGTGCCAGGCTCTGAAGTATCTCAAGGCGTGGTACTTTCTGATTATATAGGTCCAGCTCCTCCCCTCGGCTCTGGACTGCATCGATACGTATTCTTAGTCTACAAACAACCCCACAACCTGACCTTTGATGAGCCCAGGCTAAGTAAAAGGTGCGTAACATGATCCTTTTCAAATGTTCTACTTGTTAGTCTATTATTTAAGAAAGACGAATTAATATTATTTAACGGGAATTAACGCGATCTCTTAAGAGATCGCGTTAATTCCCGTTAAATAATATTAATTATCATGGAACGCGAAAGTTTAAAAGAAAGACGAACACCAAAATTAAACTTCGATAATTAGACGCCTTGCTGTCTTTTAACTACATATATTATCTGTTTAGTGTTGACCACAATCATTTCTTCTCTGTTGGGTGTGATATTTATAATTATAATAATTTATAATAGTAATAATAATAACCTCACACGGCCGTCTGATCCTAAACTAAGCAGGGCCTGTACATATACAAATATTTGTTTCGGAGTTTGGGTATTTTCTATGTATAATATGTATATACATATTTACAAAAAAAGGATAAAAGTATTCTGTCAATCAATCTAGCTTTCATAGTACAAGCTCTGCTTAGTTTGAAACTAGATGGCGTTGTGTGTCAGATGTCCGAAATTACATCTAGATACAGAACAAATACAGCTTTTTTACAATACGCACTAGCAATATAATCCTGTGGCGCGGGGGACCTTACAAACATACATGAAACGGATACAAAGAACACCCAGACTCCGGACAACAATTTGTAGATCACACAAAGTGTCGTCCCATGTAAGGATCGGACCTACAACACTCAGCGTAGTAGGAAGTGCCGAGGCACTACGCCATCTGTGCAGTCAAAAGTTGTTACGTAAGTAAACCATTAATATCTTATAATACATTTAAATAACTTACTATCTTTTTCACGCAGTTCCTCCGTGAATCGTACATTGTTCTCTGTTGTCAATTTCGCCAATAAGTACAACCTGAGCGATCCTGTAGCGGGCAACTTCTTCCAAGCTTAGCACGACGTTCATTTACCTGAATTTTTATAGCTTCTGGGTTTGTAAATAATTCATTGATTTACTTAAGCTGTTAAAATAAAAATTCAACTCTTTATAATATGTGTACGTCATTATTAGTCTTGAAACACTGATCAACCCTCACGTCTGATGATAAACATAACGTTTGTAACGCCAGCTCAGTTACTTATAAGTTGTCAACCCTTTAGAATTTAGAATAGAACTCTTTTTTGTTTGGTGTTCCACGCATCAACAGCTGGTTAGTCGTAGCATTCTATAAGGTACAGGAACAACCATTGATGAGGGAGTCTAATACATAAGACCTATTTTTGGAAAGCTACGTCTACCAGTCTAGGCATCTATTGCAACCTTATTCAAACGCTAAGTAGAAGGCTTTTTCCTATACAAGGTATAACAGTTAAATTACAATTTTAAATCGATCCATAGAAGACCACCGTTGACTAATACAACACACCTAATCCTACCCCTCGACATTAATTATTATTATTTTTACGCATAAAGGACCACTCTGAGTCTAAATGCGGAAACCGAAGCCCACAACCAATACCAATACCTACCCCTCGATAGTTTCTGAGGAGGTGATCGCGTCAGTCGTAGTATATACTTTAACTACTTTTTACTATATACATCGACGACTGGATGGCGTAGTGGTTTGTGTAACGGACTGCTATTCCAAAGGTCGCAGGTTGGATTCCGGCTTAAGTCAAACATTTGTGTCATGAACATTTGATGTTTGATATGGTCTGGGTGTTTCTATGTATAATATGTATGTATTTACAAAAAAAAAAGTATATATGTATTTATATCAGTTGTCTAGTACCCATAGTACAAGCTCTGCTTAGTTTAGGACTAGATGGCGTTGTGTGTATGTGGTAGAATATTATTATTATTATTTATTATTTAAACTTACACGTAACTAATTCTGATATGTCGATGACTTACGACGTAACGACGTGTATAAGGAGTAGAAACAAAAAACATATATATGAAAAGTGACTTCATTATTTTTTATATATTTTACGTATGCGTGTGAAATACGCAAAATCATCTTATGTTGTTTTATCGCAAATTCAATCTTTTTATCTTGATATTACTCTCAGATACGTTTTATCACAGCAAAAACAAAATGCTATGATATGCCTAGCCTGCCTAACTGTATTTATTGTTTTATTTATTACATTATTTATTGCATTAACAAATAACTTCTATCAACTATTAAAGAAGAGAACAGAAGAAATTGGTAGATTATTTTTAGGGTTCGCCGATTAATATGTACATGATTTAGAATTAAAAGTGTACAGATTTTGTTTGTTAATTAGCTTAATTTATTTTCTTAATTTGTGTACCGTAACAAATATTTTTAAATAATATTTAGCAAATGTTAATAAAGTTCTAGGTTCCATAAAAATTGTATTTTTCATTTTCAACAAACCACAGAATAATTTTAATATTTTATTTATTTCTACAGCCTTTCTAACGAGAGGCCTATGTCCAGTAGTGGACTATAAAGGATGTTGATGATGAAGGGAGTTTTTAAATAAAACAGCGCAGTAGTACGTTATTTATATATAATAAATAATATCTATGCATTTTGTTTATTAATTCTAAATAGGAAGAATTGATTGCATTTCGATTTTCTACATGAAATAAAAACAAGTAGTTGTGTGATCAGCTTTATGGCAATATTTATACGTACACACGCCAAACGAAATACCTGGTCAGTTTCATATTAACGTATAATATCATACTTAACAGAATACTGTGAAGTATATCATTATTATTCTTACTTAGATATCATAAATTTGTAAATTATTATAGTTTAAAAATTATTCTGTTACCTAATTTAATTTTTCTAGTAATCGTTCATTAAAGTCACAGTTCCTTCGTTCTACTGACCATGTATTTCGTTTGCTACGTATACATATTTTTTACAATAACTGAGTACAAATAATACACATACACTGACCACCTTATTTTCCAAAGGTGTTTGATGAGGCATATTTAACACCGACATTTTACCAACTAGGTATAATTGGACCGCACTTGGCCGTAAAGGTACTTTAAAAATTAGAAGATTGCCAAATTGGAAATATATTGATTGCGAAAAGAAAGGGAAGAAGGTATTGGACGAAAAGCGATATTGGGATATAAAACAACTAGAGCAGCTCTCGTGTATAATATACATGGAACCCTAACTGGATGTTGCCTACAATTCATACTACAAATGATGGGTTATAGAATAGAATAGAATATGCTTTATTGTACACCAATTACAGTAAGTTGGTTAAATATTACAGATTAATATGTACAATGGGCGGCCTTATTGCTAATAGCAATCTCTTACAGGCAACCTTTGGATGAACAAACCGACAGTAGATAAGAAGAAATGGGTAGTCTAGGTGTATTGAAGCTAACGTTTTGTAAAAATAAATAAATGTACATTATATAATTATACATACACATACATACAAATACATATATATATATTATATTCAATATATGTAAAGGTCCGTGTGGTGACGGATTAAGAATACAGAGTGTCACCACCCCTATTCATCTAACTAAGACTAAGGGAGAAAAAAGAACAACAGCACTGCAGAGAGAAGGAAAACTTGACACAAACCCTGTACCAACCCGTCTGGCCAGCGTGGTATAGTAGGCCAAAACCTCCTTTCTAAGGAGAGGCTTATGTCCAGCAGTGGACTATTAAAGGCTGATGATGTGATATGTATAAACAATTTATATTAATAACCATGACTACATTAGCCATGTATAGTTATTGGAAGCAAAGGGTACAATGTACTATGAACTCAAGTAGTGAACTTTGACCATATTTTTAAATGCTGTCAGTGAAATGAAATGAAATTATATGAAATGAAATGATATTTATTTCTGTAAGTAAATCTTTTCAGATATTTTTACAAGTCGGACTTTATAGCTAGAAGGAGCCGGCATTTCCTAAGACTCACTCTGGGAAGAAACGCCGAAACAAACCACAGAGGTGTCTTTTTTTTTTTAAGTCCGTAAACAAAGTTAAATAAAACTGCGAGTACAGTATAGGGTCTGGATAGGCCTTTTGAGGAAAGGACCATAGTTTTGAGTCAACCTGTCCATACAGACGGCATACAGGCTCCAGCCATCGTGTAGCCTAACCGATATTGACGACCCGAAGCATGACACTAACGCCAGCAGGACATTTGGGTAGGCCGTGGAAACACTCAAAACCACCAGAAAGATAATAAAATATGAATTAACATTACAAGCCTACACTGTACTAACATTTACATACTTACACAAAAAATAAAAAAATACTATACAGTTCAAAGTCAACAAAAAATAAAATACGAAAACAAAATACGAAATACACCAAAAAAAATAATAATTGTTCGGGCACTTGTCATAGGTATCGATTGCTTAATTCATTGCTAGTACGATTCGAGTACATAGCTAATCTTCGTACTCGGATTGGTAGAAGTTGCCCGCTATTGGATCGCCCATGCTGTATTTTATTGCGAAATCGGCGATAGAGAACCCTCCACGCTCAGATGACAATCTGAAAGTGGAAAACTCACTTATATCTAGAATTCGTCCAAGGAGACTATTATTACTACTAGAGATTACATATTAAGCCGATGAAGGATGTCTAAAACCTTATGTTAAAAAGAAAATATGCAAAACATTCTCCTTTCTCCGTTAATATTTAAAAAAAAATAATGTTGGTGGACAAAACATTTTCGATAGAGCAATGCAGTAGGTGCACATATTTTAAAAACTGCACCTGGAGATTTAAATCGCGTTCTTTGTTACACACAAACTTCTTTAGAGGTCTCTACACAAAGTTACGCCTTTAGGATTGACGACGATCCTCAGGTCTGAAGTTTTTTTAAGTGGTTGCGAATTACCTCCAATCACAATCGGTTACAAAATAATACAATCGTACATATAACAACATCCATACTAATATTATAAATTCGAAAGTGTATCTGTCTGTCTGCGAGTTTCATATCTATTTGTTTGTATTTAACCGACTTCAAAAAAAGGAGGAGGTTCTCAATTCGACTGTATTTTTTTTTATGTTTGTTACCTCAGAACTTTTGACTAGGTGAACCGATTTTGATAATTCTTTTTTTATTTGTATATGTGTTAAGATGTGGCGACATCGGTTCTCGAAGTAATTGGGCGCTAATTCAGGCACAACCTAACGAATATCATAACACAAGAATGTATTATCCATTCATCTATACTTAGGGCCTAGTCATATTCGACTGCGTGCCCAAAATACTGAAAACAACGCATCCAGCTTAAACCTAAAAGTTTAAAAATAATACATAAACTAATCCCCATAACATTCCCAGCATTAAACTAGAACAAGAACATGATAGACATTTTAGGTTCCTTATAAAATTGTCAGTTCCTCGTTCTTAGGAATTCAGGCGCACATACATATATGATTACTCGAAAAACTACGGGACCGTTTGGTATAGTCCCACACAATATTTTCTTTTTAGGCATTTTTTTACTTACACATTGGTCAGTCTGGGCTCATCAAAGGTCAGTTTTCCAGGTTGCTGGTAGACCAGGAAGACGTATCTGTGCAGGCCAGTACCTGCGGGAGGACCAGAGCCGATGTAGTCGGAGAGTCTTTCACCTTCCTCTATATTAGCGCCGGGCACGTTCCCTACAAGCCAGTGTTGATATTCGCGGGCTGTGGGTTCAGCACGCGACGGGGGATCAGCATCTGTCACAATTGATTAATTATTGAAATAAAATAGTATCTGCTTCTATGTGATTTAATGTGTTAACACATACTGTGTGTTAACACATATGTGTTAAACAATGGCCAACCTCTGCACCATGAGCGCAAGTCGCCACTCACTTCGTTCAGCCTGCGCCCTAACTCGTAATATCTTGTTTTTCTTAACATTCTTGATAGAAAAATATGGGCAGATGATGGATGATGATTGTGACATAGAAAACATTTTTACAAAGTAAACGAGAAAAAATGTGTTAACGTTTTTGACCGGATGGCAAGTATGTGTAATTAAATAAACATATCTCTTAAAATAGAGAGACGAGATACTCGTAGTATCTTGATAAGATAGTGCATCGCCATAACCTCTTGACTCTGCTGATATGAAACTAAGGATAAAGGCGATGAACATAACTTAAAACCAAATATGTGGTAATACGTGGTAATAAATAACACATGCTGAATTGTCTCCTTCCCCTCGGTGAAGACTTGATTGATGATTGAACGCAGAGAAACACAGACTACCGGCGGACCGGTAGTCTGAGTTTAGAGTTTAGCTTTTGAAGCTTATAAAAGCCTAATGGAGACATCAAGCGATAAGTTAATAATATGATAATACCCTTCTCCCTAAACAAAATCAATCCCTGTCCTTGCGCACACGCAGTCAACGCACTTGATCATTGACGAGTAAATGTGTCATTAACATGCTGGGTTTATTACCAATCATGGCCAATGTGTAGAATTGGTTCGAGTCTGCGTCCCACTCGACGATAGGCGTCTCCTGCACGCTACTTGGCATCAGCACATTGCCGAGATTCACGACAACACCACTGGGATAGAGAACCTGTAAATGACAATTGGTCAATTGGGAAATAATGTATAGGCATTACAAAGAAAACGGTTACAAAGGAAAACAGCTACTTTCAAGGGTAACTAAATAAGGTACCTACCGGTAAATCCATAGAAATTTGTTATGTTATCTGGTTCTAAAAAAATCTATAATTCCAAGCAGGCTACTAGCTGCATCACAGACTTTAAATATTTAATAAATCCATCATGCGCTCAAGGCCCGACCACCGGTGGCCATACATTATAATTATATCGGAGGATGTTGACTTGCAGTGAATGTGGACGTACTATCCCCGCAAATTGCTAATGCGCCTGGCCGCCATTTTGGTGACGTATTTTGTTGACATTGACATTAGACACTCTGTACCGTTAGCATTATTCTGGCTGATGCGAATTGCGAGGGACGTGTACCTACGCGTTTTTTGTTTGTTTTTTTTTTGTTTTAAATTGAATCAAAATCTAATCTAATTATATTATTAATATAGTTATATTACTAATAAGTCTTTTCTAATAAACATTGAAAATCACACAAACATTTTTCATTTCTTAGATAGATACCTATTTCCAAGGTGTGAGATTAATTAAATGTCATCAAATATCAGTTTTCCCGTAAAATGTAATCTTACAATAAATGTCATTTCAAATCTGTCAAACTTAATAATTAACCTATTAAATTTACAATTGCATTTCTTTTTTAGCAAGCTGTACTTTTCTATTTTGGATGACGTCACGTGGCTCTTAATGTGACAAAGTTCCTGCGCATTAGCAATTTGCGAGTATAATACGTTCATGGCAAAAGTCGGGTATGTCAGTCACCTGAGAGCACATCAACAAAGCTCTTATTAACCAGTTCCAGAATACGGTCTGGACGGACGCACGTAAATCAGTCCCGGTACATTTACTACAATACTAATTATTTTGTATTTGTCACAAAATACTTAGGCTGAAATTTATAAAGCGTACTTAGACTTTGCTCAGACTTTGCTTACGCTAAACTTACTTAAGTTCCTGCACAGTGTAATCTTAGCATTCGAATTTATAGTCCTCTTGGGCTAAGAATTTACTGAGTGTATGCTAAGCAAGAGCTCAGGAAAATTTTTTAAACGTTTCGATTTGCATAGCATATTAATTTAAATTCTTGGTATTTCAAAAATATATTATTTTTAAAATAGCTGTAATAACCTAAAATATTAGTAATCTAATAAATTTTATCATATTATTGTATTTCAATCAATTAACACCTTTAGTTTTCATTGATTTTAAGTGATAAAAGGCAAAAATAACACATGTACAAGTAAAACAAAACGTACGTATATTTGACTTGTCAAATGTCATAACAATATTTGAGGTTGTCTCGTCTCGAGTTCATTCGCAAATATATCAATTTCTTGTATTAACTTTTTATCTTGACCCTGGCACACCCTTACGGACTTCTGTAACAACGCTTTCGAACTAAATTACGGCTTTTCTTCCTGGACAATCGAACCATCTTTTCACATTGACTCTGGCATATTTCACGGACTTTATATACTTTTCTTGCGGATTTGGTTTTGGTTAACGATGGAGAACATCGATAGAATTGAAAATGTTCTGTCTAGAATAGATAGAATCGGCACATCGGCACTGGATAATGTTCGTATGCCTAAAGCTTATATTCGCCATGAATATAATCAAGATCCATATAATTTGTGCGACGATCAATTTAAAAAAAGATATCGATTTACAAAAAATACGGTGAAAAATGTTATTTTGCCACTAATTGCTGACAAACTGAACCACTATGATAATAGAGGATTGCCAATAACACCAGAAATACAAATACTCATTGCATTAAGGTTCTATGCTACTGGAACTTATCAGGTACGATTTTATAGTTGTCTCATTTTATACTAGATTCGTAAGACTGTACACTTACTTGGTGTTACAACAACAACCACAGATATATAACCTATTTTACTCGGGGATGATTTAGCTTTCTAATGGTGAAAAAATATTCTAATCAGTTCAGTAGTTCCGGAGCCTATTCAAAGCAAACAAACAATCAAATCTTTCCTCTTTGTAATATTCATTTCTATACATATATTCATTAATATATAGATAAAAATAAATCAGCTTTCTTTTTAGATTCTTTTAGAATGTTTACTATTTTTCCCCACAGTTTTGCATCAAATCAGTATAGGAGCAATAAGTCCTAGCTATATGAAATTTATTTCTTGGTCTATTGTCTGTCCCAGTAGTATTTTTAAATAACTTTTCTGTTTCAGACTGTTTGTGGAGATTTATTAGGCTTGAGCCAATCTACAGTGTGCATCATCATAAATAAAGTTTCCAGAGCATTAAGTCAACTTTTACCACAATTTATTAAATTCCCAAACCAGCTACAAAATGTCAAACAAAAATTTGAAGAGTTGGGTAGAACCAACCAACTACATGGACTTAATAATATAATTGGAGCAATAGATTGCACCCACATTAAAATAAATAGACCAAGAGGTATAGCTCACTCTGAAGCATACAGAAATAGAAAATCTTATTTTTCCGTTAATGTCCAAGCCGTTGTAGGTCCCGATATGGAAATTTATGACCTTGTTGCACGATGGCCTGGAAGCGCTCATGATAGTCGGATATTTAGAAATAGCCGTGTTCATGCACGTTTGGCTAGTGGACAATTGCAGGGAGTCTTGGTGGGTGATAGTGGATACCCATCCATGCCATTTATTTTAACACCCTTGATACAACCAACAACACGTGCGGAAAATAATTACAATTATGTACAAATAAGGACAAGGAACATAATAGAAAGATTTTTTGGTGTCTGGAAGAAAAGGTTCTCATGTCTGCAATTGGGCCTCAGAAACAAATTAACAAATGTGTGCAATATAATTGTTGCTTGTGCAGTGCTTCACAATATTGCAATAAGAAGCAGAGACAATTACTCAATTGTAGAAGAAGATGCACAGCAAATTGATGAAGTGCAGTTAAATTCAAGAATGTCATCAGCTGCAGGATTAGCTTTTCGACAATCCATCGTAGAAACTTATAATTGATAAAGAAATAAAAATCATAATATTAAGTTCTTAGTTTTTATTTAATTCTTTCTTCAACAAATCTCTTTTTAATTTTAATATTTCCAGTTCTACTGCATGTTTTTCCTGATCTTGCTCTATCTGTTTAGTAACTTTTTCAATTTCTTTTTTCACAAGTTCCTTTTTTAAATCCTCCAGAGATTGTTCCGGTTTTTTTTTCTTTGCTGGAGCTGGTGCTAGTTCCGGGGTTGTGGGCATTGTAAGCCCCTGGAGAGAACAACCCGGTAGAGTATTAAGATCTTGTACCTCTTCTCCGAAGACATGAACTTCCATGTCCATCATTCTATTTTTTTTGTTTTGCCAGTAAACACCGTCATCATCATTTGTTTCACCTGAAACCAAATAAGATATCATTACTTACAAATAACTAGATGCTGTATGTGTATGTATATGTAATTAAAACAAAGTTGTTAGTACTACATATTTATAACTGATGCATGGCTAGACAAATCTTACTGAAATTTGGCACAGCTAGATTATAGTCTGGAACATCACATAGGCTATGTTTCACCCCACATGAACAAGAAATTCCCACACCAACGGGAATATCTAGAATGTTACAATGCCTGGACATTTAATTTACAGTAACAAAATGAACAACTAATAAATATAAATTATTAGTGAGTACTTACTAAATTGCGAGGTGCTTGATTGGATTATATCACTATCTATCTCAACTTCAATTGTTGGCATTACAGTTGGTAATATAGAAAGGACCTGGGTCTCTTCGGATCCTATAGCCGGAGGTGCAGGTCCACCACCAGTCCATTTTTTTTGGGCTTCTAAAGTTTTAGCATCTCTGGCCTTCGTTTTTAGATTTTGCCACATTTTTTTAAGTTGAGCAGCATTCGCCTAAAAATAAAACAGATAATGTAAAGAGAGAATGAGGTTATTAAAATCCCAAGTAGGTGGATATGTTATTTACTACTTTATTCTCTAGAATTTTAACTTACTCGCTGGGATACGTTAGGCGAGTTATTGTAGTGGCATGCAATATCCTCCCAGGCTTCTGTCTTCTTTTTTTGGGATGTACCATCGGTCTTGCGATTCTCCACTATGTCCATTTTCGTCGTCACCAACTGCATAAGCAGTTGTTTTTCAAATTCACTGTAGGGCTTCTGTTTTTTTTTCTTATCGTCGGTGTTCATGACAATAGTAATCGGTGTCCGTAGATGAGCAAAAAAGGGTCGTCGTGAAAGCAGGTACTAGTCCGAGGGAATACAAGGGTCGTCGTGAGAGCAGGTACAAAATCCGAGTTAATGCAAAAGGTCCAAAAGTATAAAAGAGTTCAAGCGCAGAAAACACCACGAAGCGAAAACAAAGATTCAACAGACAATGAGAGTTTATGAGACCACATACAATGACAAAACAAAAAATCCATAGATTACCATTGATAGATTGTTGTTTACAATAGAATTCCATTGTCTTTCGTGCTAATATTAAAATAATTTAATTTTAAGGCTTTTCAGAGCATCTCCAACTACTAATGAGCACGTAAGTAATCGCTAAGTCATGGATTTTGGTGACTTAGACTATGCTAAGCATTTGCTCAGCTTGAGCTAAGCATTATGACTATAAATTTCAACGCACACTTAACTCGTGAGGTAAGTCTGAGCAAAGTCTAAGTACGCTTTATAAATTTCAGCCTGAGTATTGTACTTAGGTACTTACAGAAGCAACGGCGTTAGGGGCCTTCGGCACGATATCAGGAACGATCTCGTGTACCTCAAAACTCGACACCACATCCGATTTCACTGCCGCAAACACATTAAAATTTACAATAGTGTTATATACTAATAACAAAACAAAAGCACTTCTCAGTGATTTAGAAATTGGCGCCATTTTAAGCTGACAGCGCACGATGACGTTGTCAACCACGAGGGACAGCGAGTAACTGGTTTTTTAAGTATCTTATCTAATGTTTTTATGTGTAAGGATTTTTGGAAAACTATGGTTGCAAGGTTGATATTGCGATAGATAAAGATAAGGTAAACAATCAGCAAATTTTTAATAAGTACATACATAATCATATTTAAATAAAATTTCATAGGTGACCTTCACCAGGGCAGAAGTCGATTTTTGGCTCCCTTTTGAGGTATGAAGAAGGATGGAGGGGCAATTAAATCATAACGTCAGCCAGTGATTGGCACACCAATATTTTCGATGCTCCTGATTCGTTTTCTCGCACTTAAGTAGGACGAGTACACTTCCGAGCAAATTAATAGGATCTTTTTTTTTTATTAATAATTTGATTATTTCTACTTTCGCTATTCATCAATTTAATTTTCTGGTAGTTAAAAATTGGGATTTTTTGTATTGATTGTGTTAGATAGCGTACCTAATGTATTCTCTAATATGTATAGAGATGTCTCCTTTAACACGATACGAATGGACACCGTACCAGTTTCACCTTTAAATAAGAAACTGTTTTGATGGAAGTTATCACTAAGTTTTCACCCTAATAATTTTAGAAGGAAAATATTTTTTAAACAAATTTTATACATACTTTGTTTCAATTTTTTTAAATTAAAACCGTTTTCTTTTACCATAGTAGTAACTTTACTACGGAACGTCTTATGGTTTTGATGTTTTTTATTCTATTCTTACTAAGAAAATATAAATAATAGTAAATGGGTGTGCATTTTATTTTTCCATGAGTGCACGATGCGCAAAGCGATCCCCATTCTGCCGCCGAGGACTCAAAATCCGTGCCGGTAACTTTACTAAAGTAAAAATTATCTTTTCAAGGCTAAATTTTTTTTTTATCTGAAATATGAAATTGTCATAACCTGTCATCCAATTCATATGACTCCAAACGTTTACATCCTATCAAATACCGATTTTTGACGTGAACATACTTAAGGTTGCAAACCAGATAACTGATGATAGTTGACAGTTTGATTTTGCAAATCTAAATCAATCTCGTTTCGTTGCATCACATAATTTTGCGTTTAGTTACTGGTACACGCGGCAAACGAAATACCGCGGAATGGCTTTTTTATTTAAATTTATACACGTAAACTACACACAGTCCAAAACAGTTACCACATGTAAATATACAATAGCGCCAAACATATTTTTTAATCAGCAAAAGGGCAGGAAGATGAAGATGATGACATTAAAACAACACCTAATGAACGAATATTGGTGAACGTAATACTATTATTTCGTTGACCTATATTCTTTCAAATCCGAACTAAAAAATATAAGATCGTGTACGGTTGAAAAGGTTTAATAGTTCACTGCTGGACATAGGCCTCTGCTTAGAAAGGAGGTTTTGGCCTACTATACCACGCTGGCCAAACGAGTTGATATAGGGTTTGTGTCAAGTTTTCCTTCTCTTTGCAGTGCTGTTATCCTGCGTAGTTTGCTCCCTATACGGGATGAATAGGGGTAGTGACACTCTGTATTCTTAATCCACAAATAATCACCACACGGTTATTTGCATTACTTGTAATAAAAAACGTATTTAAAATACAAATATGTTTACTTAAAAAAACGAGTGTGGTTTAGAACACACGACTGAAGTAAAACTTAGAGAAAACTAGAGAAAGAGAGAAAGAAAATGTGTGCTCGCACTTCTCTCTCTTGCCCCTACAGTACTAAACGAAACGTAACTCTCTCTCTTTCTATCTTCACTAACTTATATCTTCCTCTCAACTTCCGTTCGCCTCGCCCGATCACACTTTTAGTAACGCTCCCGTCACGCAAGCGTCTCGTCAAGCGTGCGTAAAGAAGTTATACTCCAAAAATAATTTAGAAATACATACGGTTTAAAATTATTTTGAATTTTCAAAGAAATACATTTAAACCAAACATAGGATAGGATAGACGGGTTTGTGCCTACGTGTTGTTCAGATTTTTAAATAAAACAATACTCGAGAGTAACGTATCTGTATAATAAACCTTCGAAAAGCAATTACAAATCATTCCTACACATTTTCTCTTAGAATACTAGAAAGTTATAACTGACTACATTGACTTGCGTATTATAAGGCCTAGCCTTCTTCAATATTTTATATTGTGTTTATATTTATTGATAATATGTGTTGAGGCTGACAGATATGAACTGCCTTGCAGGTTATAAGGTAGTTTTTTGTTTCTTAAAGAGCAGTACGAAGAATATAATTGCTTATTCGCCGAGTTGCTTGTAGAGCAAGGGCACGTAATCATCGTACTCAGCCTGGTAGAAGTTGCCCGCTACGGGATCACCCAGGTTGTACTTCTTGGCGAATTTGGCGATGGAGAACATAGCACGGTTAGCACCAGATCTGGAAATAAATGATCAGAGTTAACGAGGGAGAGCGGTGCTTTGACACAAATGGGACGGCTTGACCGGAGTGATAGCATGGCGTCACAGAAAAACCGGTGCCAAGCTGACTGCTAAGCCAGAGATCATGGGTTCGATTCCCACCCAGGACAAATATTGTGTGATGAGCACAGTTATACGAGTATGTCCTGTATCTGGGTGAAATGTATCTATAATATGTACATGCAAACAAAATTTTGTCATTTATTTTCATCTCAGACTTAAGTCTGGACTCAGAACAACAATTTGTGGATCACACAAAGTGTCGTCCCATGTGAGGATCGGACCCACAACACTCAGCGTAGTAGTAAGCGGCGAGGTGACCGCTTAAACCACTACGCCATCCGTTCATCTGATGACGGCACTTGTCGTTAGAGTGACCAGCGAACCACGTCTGCGCCGAATCGCTGTGTATCTTAGCAACAGCCATAGCGATTTACAACCAAATAACACCTACGCAAAGATGAGTTCAGATGGAGTCCTTCATGCGCCTTTATACTCTTATATGTTTCACTTTGTATAGTCTAAACGGCTTGACGGATTTTAGCTTGGGAGGTATCGTTAGACTCGTATTAATTGTGTAAGGCGCACTGGGTAAATAATATTCAAAATATTAAAAAAAATTATAAAAATTAAAATGGCCAGTTTGTAAATTTTAGGTACGTATACATTTTCAAGCAGTTTTTTGTTTTGAATAATTAGTTTGTTTGGAGGAATCCCAAAGTATCTATCGGCAAAACTATTTTTTTTTTAACTTACTTATTAGTCAGTCTGGGCTCATCAAAGGTCAGTTTGTCAGGTTGCTGGTAGACCAAGAACACGTATCTGTGCAGACCAGTCCCGGGGGGAGGACCAGAGCCGACGTACTGAGAGAGTTCTTCACCAGCCGCGACGTTATCACCAGGCACGTTGCCTACAAGCCAGTGGTGCCACTCGCGGAACTTCGGATCAGCGCGCGATGGTGCGTCAGGATCTGAAATAAAAGAAGTCCAATAAGACCTTGTCATACTTCCATACTTATATTATTAATATGAAATTGAGTTTGTTTGTTTGTTAAGTTTTCACTCCTTAACCATTAAACCGATTTAAAAAAATCTTTAACCAATGGAAAGCTGCATTATCAGCGAGGAACAAAGCCTACTTTTTTACCGCGATAACCGACATAAGGGCGAAACATGGCTCTATTATATTCTTATAATAGAGCCATGTTTCAGCACAAATGGGCCCGCTCAACCAGTGACATTAAGGCCACACAGAAAACGGGTATAAGGTAATTTTTGCTTTTGCCTAACCTCTCTCCCTGATTCAGGTTGGCGGCAGGACACTCATCATCGTCATCAACAGCCTTTAATAGTCCACTGCTGGACATACTCCTCTCCTTAGAAAGGAGGTTGGACACTCAAACATTGGTAACTGGTGGTTTCTTTAGTTGCAGGTTAGTATAAGTATCGGGAATCACTAACCATCATGCCAAGCTTCACCTTAAATTGAATGTTTCTAAATTCAATGCAAATTCAAATTTTTTGATTTGTTCAATTAGGAATGAGTGAATAAAGTAAAGTCTAGAGACGATGTTTAACACATTTTTTTTAAGACGAGCCTGTTAGTCTAGTGGTTAATGATCTTGAATGCAAAGCCACAGGGTCGTGGGTTCGAATCCCACCCACGACAAATATTGTGTGATAAACATGATCATTTTGTCTATGTCTAATATATCTATAATATGTATGTATTAAGGAATACATATTTGGTTGATAGTAATAAGCTTGCCTTAAATATATAGGTTAGGTACTCGTTAACCAGAAAAAGTTTTGTTTCCAATCGATACCTGAATAATAATCGAGCTAAGTCGCGGACGGAAGCTCGTTCATTATATATTTAATACTTTCAAATGGTGTTTTTATGCGTATGTGTATACCTACATATGAGCAAATAGAAAGTTATTTTGGTATTATCCGGTTGTTCTGCACAAAACTAGCCCCGAGGCGGTATTGAGAGCATGTGATGGACGGAAGTCTTCATTCAATTTGATAATTGCCGAAAGAGACTGATGATCGAATTAAAAGTAGTTATTCAGGGTCGCATGGGTATGGTTACTGTTTTTGGTAGAAAACAGTAATTAAACCGCAAATGACAATTTTCTTTTTTATCTTTATTATCTTCGAATTCTGATAAACATTTTAACAAGGCCTCAATTCTAGTATTTTATGTTGACGCAAAGCCACTGTCATTCCATTGGACGCTTTTGAGATGCCATTGAGACGCCATTGACATCGTTTTAAATATCAGTAGTCTACTGATATAAATTCACAGTGCCAATAGACTGTCGATATAGTAATGTAGGTCATCAATGGTGACAACATTGCCATACCTAGAAAATTTAATATATCGTTTCTTACAAAATGTACCGTTTACCAAACTGTTACAAAGACATCGACGACATTTATATCAGTGACAAGTCATCGGGACACCAATGGTCTTACATAGTTAGTAGAATAGGAAAAGGGCAAAACTATTCCGACGACATTCCATCGACAGTCTATTGATATAATATTAAAATAGCAGAATTGAGGCCCAGGTTACTCGTATTTTCATTTGTTAATAACATAATCAAAATATTTTTCTTATTACTGTTATTTATTTAACTGGTCTGTCGATCGAGTGGTCCTAATTTGTGCCAGAGATTAAGCCAGAGCTCGTGCATGCTATTCCCGCCCAGGAAGAATAATTTGTGTGATGAGCACAATCATTTGTTTTGGGTCTGGGTGTAATTTATGATATAGTTTTATCATTATGTATGTTTGTAAGTTTGTAAGTATGTATGTTTTTAGAGATACATATGTTTAAGTATATTATTAATCATTTAGATAAAATGACGGAGATGAACATTATTGAATCCATAAGTCTCCTATGGGAATCTGGACTAAGATTGCTGTAGCTCGAAAAGACCAGGGATTGGAGATGCTCCTTTTTATGTAAGGGGTGGAAAATCCCTTTGCATCTCCGGCTCCTGGGTGACGATAAAGCAGTGATGCAGGAGTCACAAGTATGTGCTGTTTCCACTAAAAACTTCTACTCTAGCGAAAAGGCCGGGCTCAGAGGCCTACTTTGGGGAGGACTAGTACCATATAATATCAATGTCCTTCAAATATCGTTGCGGCGCCAATTTAGGCCCTAGGAAGGGGAAGTCGCAAGCTTCCTCCTGCCAATTGGCCCATCACTACGTTGCAATTGGACAGGCCCCTAGAATAGCGACATATATCTATATAGTAATTATAGAAGTATAAAAAATCCTCAATGTAACGGATCGTGGGGTATTTACAAAACATTGGTTACATAAAATATTCTGTTATTAGCACAAAAAGTTTATAGCGTCAAGAGCAAAATGTTTTGACCACCATCCACCGTACCTAATACGTGTTTTCTTCACATTTGCAAGGTATGACACGGTAATTTAAAAACTTAAAAATTATGTGAATTCACGCAAAAACTGATTTCATAGATACCGATCAGTCTAAACTGAACATTACTATGTAAATGTTATATTTTATTTTCCAATTAGGTAACCTTTTTTTTGTTTTTCGGATTCTTACATTATCTATCTATTTATAACATATTTTATCGATTAAGTGGGAGTGGGTGTTTCATGCCTTTTTAAAAAAAAATAGATTGTCTAGAAAGTATTAAAAAAAAAATGAGGATAAATTTTGATAGTATATACTATACCAACAACGCTTAAATTTTGGGCAATTTTTATGATGTAAAACACTTGTCAACAACATGGGGTGATTATAGTTTAGTACATTTCCTAGCTACCAAAAGAAGCCTAACAAACAAACTTTTCTATATATATTATTTTTCAATTTATTATATTATTTTTCATATTATTTTATTTATAGGTATATTATTTTTCAATTTGTAAAATCCTTAGAGGCAAAATTTCATTGGCCCATTTGATGGTAATTGATCGCAGGATTGAACACCTATTGCAAGACACTCGTGTGTTACTCGTAATCTTTTGGTTAGAAGCCCTTTGAAGCGATAAGATGGAGAACACCTCATAACATAATCATTTATATATTGTATTGTTCGAACTTAAAAAACAAGATTACTTAACTTAACTTAACTACCTAATTGTTTGCTGGTGCAACCCTCGATTTGATCTTCTTACCGAATCATAATGATAGTATGTTCGTACTTCTGACCAGAGGTAGCATAAGTATTCCTTTCTAATCTTTATTCCTGTGACTTAAGATATGCAACGCTCCTTAAATTCTGTAAGTGTTTAAACGTTGTAGCCATGGAGTTGCATTATTACCAACATCGAATTGGGTCATATATACACTACCAAGTAAGAAAAACCACTATAAATAACCATTGTTCTTTTAAAGTAATGGCTTCCTTTTTAACCAGTTATTACACAGATGTAAATTGTGACGACAACATGACACCACACATTATTAAGTATAATATAGCATTTTATGATCTATCTATAGCAGACAGAGATAGAAGATATTTCAGATATTATTTGAAAAGTCAGATAATACGGCGAAAAATATTTTATTATGCAACAATCTATTGGTACGATCAGTAATAAAAACCAATGTACCAAACAAACCATGAAATTAATCATGAACCCATAATTAATAGTTACAAATATATGTAGATCTACCTAACATTATTTCCAGGGAGTTTATTTGTATGTTTTTAACTATTGAAGACATGTTTAGAAAAGATTGGATAATAACGAACATCGCTAGTTTCACAAGTAAGCAGATCACGCCAAAAGAGTATTCTCGTGACTTTAAGTTCCTATGTAACTATATTCAATACTTTATTGAACACCATGATGTTACAGAGATGTTACATTGGGTTTTACAGTGCGTTATGGACCCCGTCGGGCACGACAGTGCAGGGGATAGGATGAAGTTCTTGTGCTTAGCTAGCTTATACTTAACTTTAATATTCATTTATTTTGTAAATATATAATTACGATATAAAATATATATTTTTATTTACTTAGGGTTTCTTTTATTTTAATTAGGTTTTATAATAAAACAATAGATTTATATTACATGACATTATATTAAATTACCATCAATATAATATTAAGGTACGAGTATTCTCGTAGTGTGTAATATGCTGTATTGATTAATAGTGACTTTAATATTTTAAGAAATTTAATATTCCTTTTTTCATAGTATCTGGGACCTTGTTATATATTTTGATATATTTTTTATATGTGTTGATAGTGGCTGAATAGTGAGGATCACTAACATCTAGGAGTTAGTGATCCTCACTATTCAGCCAGAGGCCGTGGGTTCGACTCCGAGCCAAATAATTGTATGATAAAGACAGTCTGTTTTAGGTCTGAGTGTAGTTTGGTATTAGGCGGCTGTGTGTAAGGTTGTCTCAAGTTATAAAAATAGTAACAGCCACAGTAAACTCGCCACGACAATCGAACGCTCAATTTGAGACTTCAAATGTAGAAGAGTCGAAATAACTTTTTTTTAAATTTTATGAATATATCTATTCATTCAGTCATTTAAATCTATACTAATATTATAAAGCTGAAGAGTTTGTTTGTTTGTTTGTTTGAACGCGCTAATCTCAGGAACTACTGGACCGATTTGAAAAATTCTTTCAGTGTTAGATAGCCCATTTATCGAGGAAGGCTATAGGCTATATATCATCACGCTAAGACCAATAGGAGCGGAGCACCAATGAAGAATGTTTCAAAAACGGAGAAAATTTATTACTATTGAGATACGCAGACGAAGTTGCGCGGGTCAGCTAGTTATACCTAAACACGTAGACTTAGGGGCTAGAATCGATTACTTAACGGCGATAAAGAGGAAAAAAACCTAAATAATGCCTTATACTCACCAGTCATAACCAGTGTATAGAACAGGGAAGGTTTTGCCTCCCAGCTGACGGTGGGCTTGTCCTTCACCTGAGTGGGCGTGAGCACATTGCCTTCGTCCACGGTCGCGCCACTGGGATATCGAACCTGTAATCGTCAATGGGCCATTAGGGAACTTTCTATTTAGTTGTCATGTTGAATAGCCTTTAATAGTCCACTGCTGGACATGGGCGTCTCTTTAAAAAGGAGGCTTTGGCCTATTTTGCCATGCCAGACGGATTGTATAGGGTTTGTTTAAAGTTTTCCTTCTCTTTGCAGTGCTGTTGTCCTGCGTAGTTTGCTCCCTTAGTCATTTCTGACGATACCCATGGGATGAATAGGAGTGGTGACACTCCGTATTCTTAATCCTTCACCACAGGATTAGACATAATAGTTAAAAAACCGAACGCTACCGAACGGTAGTCTACTACGAGAGTAGTAGACTACCGTTTACATTTCCAAAGGCGGCCGGCCATAAATAAAAACAAGCAAAATATTTAGAAGACTATTGAAAGAAATGGGAAAAGCGATGATGATAAGGGATCATCAATGAGAAATATTTACTTTTCAACTTGTGCGGAATATAACATGCTTTTTAAATATAGGTATGTAGAGTTTTAGCTTATAACATTTTATTTTATTTTACAGGGGCAAACGAGAAGGCGGGTATGTATTTAATGCAAATGATGGTAAGTGACGACCGCCGCCCATGTACATACACGCAACTCAAAGGATACAAGTGGGTTGCCTCCCTTTGAGTATCCCCAGAAACGAGGGGTGGGAGGTCTTTTGTAACCTCCCTAACTCGGTGAAAAACATTTAATGTTGTAAACAAACTAATTTTTCACACTATTATTTACATTATGTATTTAGGTATGTGTAGCATTCATCACTTATCATTAAATAATATTTGTAGTAACGAGGTAACATCATTATATCACTGTACCTTGTTAGTAGAAATATCTAATATTTAACTAACAGGTAATTATGGGTAATGCACAAGCGAGAATGATTGACAGTAAGTGTAAACCTCTAATGAAGTACTGACGTAGCTCAAGTGTTTTTAGGGTTTCGTGTTTTATTTATTTATAGGAAAAGACCGCTTGCATGAAATTCATGACTCCATTGACATATATTGCAATACAATACAATTAGTACAAAGAGTTGTACCATCGAAAAAGTATGACAATTTATAAGAGAAATAAAACTGAATACTGAACAATAATAAATTCAAACACGTACATACTTGAATAAACGCAATTTCCAAAATCTCCAAACAATCTGGATGGAAAAAAAGGCCGAAATCTCCATTGTAAAGAGAGGCCTATGTCCAGCAGTGGACTGTTGCTGTATACTGTATAATGAATAGTAAATATGTATTTACGTTATTAAATTAAGTAAGAAATGAGAAAGTCATAAATATGAGAATTTGACACAAATAATATGTAACAAGTTCATTCAGAGACAAAATTGGGTACGAGGGGGGAAAATGATGATGATGATGAAGGACATTATAGGGGCAGGGCAGGTTATGACAGGTCTTTTCACAAGACTATTAGATTACAAATCTTACTATTGTTCAAAATAGGTAATGTCTTTATTCTATCTGTTTACATTGCAAAGAATGATACGACCAAACAATACTGTTCAGATTTAATTATTATAAATATTGTGTTAATCTTATAGAAATGGATCATATCGTACTCCACAACTAAGCTGAAACATCATGGCTTTTCAATAATATATATGTAAATAGGTTTTTATCAGACGATTATGTAGACATAACCATCTGCTTTACATAATCGTCGATGTAATTATTATTATTACAGGGTGGTTTTGTATGCCAAAAACTCCTTCCTAAAGAAAGACCTATCCAGCAGTGGACTACTAAAGGCTGTGGATGATGATGATGTAATTACGAATGTGAAGACTTCGTTGTTTTTAATATATGAAATGATATGATATGAAATAATCGCAGGGGAGATATTTCTACTAAGTGAAATGAAATGATATTTATTTCTGAAAGTAAATCTTTTCAGATATTTTTACAAGTCGGAGTTTAAGAATTGGTTGACCGATCAAGGTACATAATCCACCTCCCACACGGGGGGGGAGGGGGGGGGGGTCGTCTACTCGTCTGTAGATGACCCGAGGTACCAGGGACTTCCTTTCTAGGGTATACCTGGTTCCCCGGCTATTAGTACCCGAGACGGCGGTACACGGCGGTCCGGACAGGTGGTATCCGAGGGGATTTCCGCACGGAAAAAAAAAAAAAAAAAGGTACATAATCCACCGTATAAAAGCATGATATTTAAATTTTGAATTTAATTGTGTGTTTGCATGTGTAGGTGCTGTATGAGCATGACTGTTAATATTCTGAGAGCCTAGTGTGAGTTTATTTCACATCAACTCGCTCTCGACAGCGCGCCGCAACGCTAAACGCGCTTATTGCGGCGAGCGCGTTTGGCGTTGCGATTTGCCCTCACTGAAATCTTTACGAAACTCACACTAAGCCCTCTGATATCATTCTGTCACCTAACACATAGGTACAATTTGGGTTTTTGGAAAAAGTAGGTAAATCTTTGGGTAGTAGTTTCTTACTCTAAAATAGGTGCATCTTCTTTAGTAAGTTTGGGAGTAAGCAAAACAAAAATTCTTAATCTTTAAAATAGTCTTTTAATTAGTTTCTTGGATTTAACTTATGTATCAAATACTATGAAAGTACTTGGTTACAATTGCAATTATCATATTACAAACAAGAAAATGAAATATGCTGTTATCTGTGAAGTTAAGCCATTAACCACAGATGATAACAGGCGAAATAGTTTTCAAACTAGATGTACGCCAGCAAAGAAAGTAATTTACAGTACGAATTCTTTTACTTTTAACTGAATTTAAATTGAAGATCATGTGCAAAGGAATTAATAAAGAGTGAAAAAATTGCTGCACAATTTAATCTGAGAATACTCTAGCGTACGTTGCCTATGCAAAAGCCTGTCGAGACAAATCAGTATCTTTTTATTAAACGTCAAAACGATAGACGCAATAAAATACTATGGTGTGACGTCATACCTTGCTGTTGTCAAGTCATTTTTATTTAATGTTAATTTGAAGATACAAAAATATTAAAAACATTGATATTTGAGGACAATTAAGATGTTATATTTAATGATTCAGGCGAAATAATTAAATTAATTTTAAACCCAGGAATCTACCCTATTGCTTACAGTAGGTAAACGGTAATCGCCGTTTCTGCAGGATTTCTGTTATGTTATAATGTTGAAAGAAAATTGATAAAATTGATGGAGAATATAATTATACATCAACAAGGTATTTTTTACCTTCCACGTAGGTATTGACAAGAGCCCACCGGGCAGAGTATGTGAGGATGCAAGGTCTAACCCTATATACCTCACGGGCTTGCTTAACTGTTATACTTTTCATAATTCTGACTTGCCTTTTCTTCTGACCGTCACAATTCGAGCAGAACATGTCTGAGTTTTACCCCTCCTTGCTAAACCTAAGCAGGGAGGGGTAAAACGCAGTTATATAAAATTAAGTAGCTATATTATATTTACTTGTTTTTTCATTCATTGCACACTTACTTTTTGTAAGTGCACAAATCACACCTTTTTCAAATTGCCTACGTCTTCTTTCCATACCACACTGCTCTCAAATATCAACATTCTATCAATCAATATTACTTTACCAAGTTCCTAGTGACTCCATTAAATGAGGATTTACTCCACTTTAATTATTTTTCTACCATATCCCTACTATATATTAGGGTGTACCACCGGGTACCGCCACGCCAACTGCCAGACAATCTGACAATCAGACAAATGCAACAATCTTACGGCTCATAATAGGATGTAACGCACCGTTTACTGGACTACCTGAGTATACTCTCATTTCAGTATCTACTTCCTACATTTTTGACTATCCGACATATTTAAGCAAACGGGTGTCAATTTATAATTTTGAAATATCTACGGTTTTAGTGACTGACTAATATTTACTGTACCCTTATAAAATTCTTCTAGAATGTTATCAGAATGACATTAATTTATCATTAAATCCTTTGATACTATTCGTACTATTTGAACTGTGAAAGTAAGTTTATTTGTTAAGCTTATTAAGGCGTGTAGCCTTAAGAACTCAACCGTTCATCATAAAAATATGCATATGTGCCTACAATTATTATGGAGTACAGTGAAGGAGATAAAGTACCGTTCGCTTTGAGATTTAAAATTTCTATTACCGACCGAGGCCGCGAAGCTTAGAAAAACTATCCAAAAAATCTACATTAATGCGATATTTATATATCGCATTAATGTAGATTTTTTGGATAGTTTAACTCATTATAAATTAATAAAAATTATAAACATTTAATGCGCTGCTATATCGTTCATACAAGCATCTTGAAGTTTTGCATTTACTTTACCTCTGATACAAAATTACATGAAGCAATTCATCACTCATCCTGAAAAAAAAATGTTTCCTGAGGGATGTAAAAAATAATTTAGTTAGTTTAGTAGACTAGTTAATTAATATAGAAGGTAACCCATTATAGTACTTAAAGCCAATGTTACCTGCTATAATAAATGATGTCAATCATAAAACACAATGTGACTGATGAAATAATGGAAAGAGCACAGTCCAATCCAATGGACTGAACTAAGATTTTTGCACATTCAGAAACAGTTTCGATACATAAATAGTTAGCTTCTGCTCGCGGCTTCGGAAATAGTTCTTTATTCAACGTTCTGACAACGTTCAATGTGGATAAATCATAATGACCTATAACAAACTATATCCTTTATTTCTTAATTTTAACTTTTAGAGGTGTTTCTTAAAATTTGAATTGGACCAAATGGGCAGTATACTTGTAAATAATTTGTTTTTTACCACACATCTCAAACGGCAGTCTGATATTAAACTGTGTTATGGTAACTAGAAATTTTTGGTTATGGAATATACTTATATATCCCTAAATTTATACATATTATAGATAAATTACACTCAGACACAGAACAAATTATCGTGCTCATCACACAATTATTAATCCGGGGTGGGAATCGAACAGACGTCCTGCGGTTTAACGGTCAGGTTTACTAACCAACAGGCCGTTGTTTTTTCAAATCGCTTTATTAATGACGGAGTAACAAACTGAAGCAACAAACGTAAAAAAAAATACAACAGAATTGAGAAATCTCACATTTTTGAAAACGATTAAAAAGTAAACAAATAAACCCACTTTCACATACATTATAACATTAGTTAGGAAGTTCACCTCCTTTCTAAGGAGAGGCTATGTCCAGCAGTGGACTATTAAAGTCTGTTGATGATGATAGGAAGTTCACGTCTCAAGTATAGCTTTTTCTAAAAGAACAATTTCTACGTCATTAAAGACACGTAAGTATCGGTAACGTAACTTAAAAAGAAGAAGCGGCCCAGGGATCCTACATTGTGATGAGGAATAAGCCACACGACTATAAATAGTCTCCGTATAATGGGTACAAATATCAGTTACATTTGGTTTCTTAACATATATTTGTTCAAAAAAATAAAATAAAAATACTCACAGTAACAGTTGCTTCAGGTGGACAGGACACGACGTCAGGGACCACCTGGTGTTCTCGGAAATTCTTCGGCATGGTCGATAACGCTCTCGCAATCGCCCTAAAATTTAGCATAGTGCTGTCTGCTATTAACAAAACAATAGCACATTTCAATAATCTCAGAATTCGCGCCATTTTTAAGTTGACGATGTCGTCAACGCAACGGTCAGCGAGTGAGTGACTGGTTTTTGCCGTGTACCGTTATATAAAGTGCTACTTTAGTTGCAAGGTTCGAGTACAGTTGGAAAGAAAACGGTTTGGAAACTCAGTGAAGTAGCTTTTGGATTGTAGTAGAATAATTAGTTATAGGTGCATTCTATTGTATAACAAACAAAATAAATTTTATTTTATATTTCTCATATTGATTCTAAAGAGAAAAGTAAGAAAAATCTTTTATCGATGAAGCAAAACAAAAATCTCTCACCATAAAAAAAAACAATTTGGAAGACAAAGATAAAATTGTCATTTGACTCACAGGTGTCAAAGTGATTAACTAGCCTTCAATCCAATCTTAATGAAACTCATACAAGCACTTTTGCTCGCAACTGTACTAATCCCACTATTATACCTCGTTGCAGTAGTGGTAGTTGGTTTGTATCAACATCATTGTTACAGATCTCATCAGTGTTACTGTCACAACCAAGTCCTACTCATATGATGAATTCAAGGACTAATTGATGACCAGATAATTAATCAAAGAAGGTACATGGACAGTATATATTATCGTTAATTGGCATTCATTAGCTCATGTTGAATTAAATAAATAAACATATATTTTCGGACATCTGACCAGTTGTTGCGACAGCCTATCGATAGTATCGTAAGGCCTTGAAAATCAGTCCTATTATCGATAGTCCTATCGAAATGTTTGCCCCTTGATGATGCTCTTGATAGGATGTGTCGATAGTATCGATAGTTTTGCTCAATCGATAGTCGAACATTCAACAACACTGTTGCTTGCTTCTAAAAGGTAATAAAGAGGATGACTAAAAGGTCATCGATTTCATCTTAATATTATAACCTCGCATCGCAGTTCATTAATAAATTATTTATAATGTCATCATATATTATAAGTGTCCGTTCGTTTTATTTCGATGGTTCCTAAAGCAAAACAATCTATCGATACTATCGAAACGCGTCGACATTATCTATAGTATGGACGCGTTTCGATAGTATCGATAGAATTAACAGTATCGTTACAGTTTAATAGTATCGCTTAAGTTTCTCTATGGATACTACTGCAGCGTGTCGATATTTTCGATAGGACTATTTGCGCTATCGAGTGCGACTATCAATTGCGAAACTATCGTTATTGCAACTATCTCTCTCGATCTGATACACTACGCCATCTAGTTTTAAACTAAGCAGAGCTTGTACTGTAAAAAGCTAGATTGACTGATGATAAAATACTTATAACCTTTTCCTTCCTTTCCTTGTAAATACATACACATATTATACCTACATAGAAAACAAATATTTGCAGATCATACAAACATTTGGTCCCATCCATGCTAATTTTTTTTACAAAAACAGGCATATATAATAATTAAACATATTAAATCTAATAAAAAATTTGTTGTACTTTAAATGTATATGGCTGTTTTTGGCATTTTTTTATTTCCAGAAAAAAAAACTTTATTAACAATAATGCAACTATTGAAGATTTTTTTTTGTTAACCTATAGTGAAATGGTAATTAGAATTTTAAAAGCAAAAGAAAATTTTAATTAATTACTAAAACAATCGAAATATAATTAAAACTAAGTATTCTAAACAATTAAAAAACTATTTAAGGATTTGTTTTTGAAAAAACATCATTTTGCCTTGACAATAAAATGGCAAGTTTTTTTTTTAAATCCACGACCATTGGTTTAGAAACAATTTCTTGATAAATGACGTAAAATATTTTTCTTACGTTCATTACTGCCACTGTGAGATAAAAAAAAGCTCTTTAATAACATTGGTCAAAAAAAATTATAACAACTTTTTTAAATATTATATTTCTTTTTTATTTAAAAAAAATTATAAACAAAATGTAAAACCTTATTAAACTTGTGTCACGTAATCTGGTTAAGTGTGTATATAAGAAGGGCTCCAAGAAGCAAACATTTTTTTAGATCCATTATTTAAACTTTTATGTGGACTTTTGTAAGAACAGAGATTGGATATAATTAGTTAATTAATAATTCTATAACTTTTGAAAAATCGTCATATTTCTTTTTTCGCAACGGGTGTTTATTCTTTCAAGTGTACTGATGACACTTTAAGTTTTTCAAATTTTTAAATTAATGTTTAATACCATAAAAAAATGGTTTTGTTTGATATACTGTCTCAAGCAGCTTTGCTGCGGTGACCTGTTTTCGGCATTTAATTAAAAATAGAAATAATGGAGATAGAATGCCAGATTTTTTATTAGAAATTTCCTTCGCTTAAAGGATTTTGTTTAAAAAAAATCTTAATATTAATATAATAATTCACTTTTGAGTTATTAGGAAAAACTGAATACCGTTTTTTTCATCTTATTTTGTTAATAACAATTGCCGATTTTGCTAATAAATGCTTAAAATATCTTTTCGATACGCTACAACATGCAGTTAATGAGTCATGTTCTTCATGTTTTCTGAACTATAACCCACTCACTTTATTAAAATAAATATTGCAAAAAAAAACATGTCTGTCGCATGGAACAATATTTTTTGATTAAGATATTGTAGATCTGAAGATGTAAGTTTTAAATACATTAAAAGGAATAGAACTTTTTAGGTTTTTTCTATTCAAAGAAGAGGGAAAACATCACTTCTTCTGACTGAAACGACACCTTTGGCATATAAATCCATTAAAATTGACTTATTAAATACAACAACATTCAGGATCTCCTAGCATATATTGATTTAATCAATCACCTATCCTATCAGTGATCTAGAACCACACACCAATATATGTGAGAGTGAGGAAGATTTTGATGAACTGTAAAAGAGTACCTGCGAGTCTTATTTTCTTAAAAGTAGACAGATATATTTTCGTTAAATTAACTAAATCAGTTTTCCTACAAAAGATGCTAGACTAGCATACACAACAGAAGTAAGTCTGATGAAGAAAGAGATGAATTTTTAAAGAGGGATGTTCAGTTCCTAAGAAGTGATTCCACTGATGATTACTTTGTATAAGAAAACATTTTAATTATTATATGGCAAAAAATAAGAATGGGATAGTATTAAATTAAGAATATTCATGTTATTATAACTGTTTAATAAAAAGTTGATGAGTAACATTCTTTCAAAAATTAAACCACTTTTTATATTTTTTTAATCGCAATGAAAAATATAACTCATTTAACTTTTAACTACATCAAATTGGTTTCACTCCCATGTTGTTCCTAATACTTCATAATTTTTTTCAAATTAAATTAAATTCAATGAATGAATTTCAAATAAAATTCTGTTTTTTGAATAATCATTTGTTTATCATGTAAATACCAAAGACCACAGATAAATGTATAATGTAATATATAATATATACTAAGCTATATTTTATTTTTAATGCTATTTTTTAAATTTATCAGTATATTTAACTCAGTATTTTCAGATAAGTATACTTGTTTACTTTTAACCTCTTTTGTTAATTCTTGATGAAAGTTTTATCAGTCTTGAAGGGTGCTATTCTACTATGGAAATACATAAAATCTAGTATAGTAGTAGTCTAGTTCTTTCAAGTAATCTTTTTTACAAAGTTTCGTTTATTACAGAGATCAAATACGACATGGACATCAATGTTGCAGGCCGACAACATTGACCTAACATCATGCATAGAGGTTAATTATAAAGGAGTTTGTGATGGCTCAATAAAAATAAATATCTACCTAGATGACTGTTCTTTGTCTCCTCTATCATGTCGTGACTGATATGATAAGGTTATTCAATTGCATTTTTGTTGAATCTTAATCAAATACTAGTACATATTATAGAGATTTAATTTGGAAAGTTATGGTCCTTGTACTTCATATTGTGCCGGTGAAACAAAATTTATTTCTCGGGTTTACGCGTAACTAACCGCAACTTAACATTAAAGGAACATCCAAACGTCATTAAAACACAGAAGTATACTTATATAACCACGTTAGATAGATAAATATTAAAACATTCCTGTGACCGGCTACCCGGCACGTCAACATTACTATACTTAGTTTTTAAAGTATAGAGTTTTTTTTTATTTGTGGGTACCAACGTGTTTTCATATTTTAATATTAGAAGATCATTCAATATCTTACCTTATAAACGTTTAAAAGGTGTAAAGTAATAAAAACTTTTAGCAAGCAATTCAAAGAAAAATCCAGTATACGCTCCGATACGGAACTTAATGAACTGAAATCTAAAATTAGAACATCACCTCTAAAACTTCAACTTTTTTTGTATATAGATAAATACAATATAGATGAAGCTACAGTTTAGGGTGGATGAAATCACAATCACCTTTTATAAGTATAGTCACACCTGTGACTAATTTACAAAACCACTGCTACTTATTGTTATTATTATGCTAGCGCCATACTCGCGAAAAACGAGTGTGCTTTAGACCACACGACTGAAGTAAAACTTCGAGGTAATGACAGAAAGAGTAAGAAAATGTGTGCTCACACCTCTCTCTTGCCCCTACGCATATTACATGCGAAACGTAACTCTCTCTCTCTCTTTCTACTTCCCTCTCAACTTCAGTTCGCCTCGCCCAATCACACTTTTCGTAACGCTCTCGTCACGCATTCACCAGCTTACTCCGCAAGTCAAGCGTGCGTAAAGAAGTTTTACTTGTGATAAATTAAATTAATCTATTGATAACCACTTTCAAAAACTGATAGTTTTATGTCATATTCTCAGTGTCAACAGTATATGTCTATCGCAAACTAAATACTGAGTAGAGTGAGGGAGAAGCGTCTGTCCGAAATACGGCTAGCGCTCACTCTGGCGAGAGGAGGAGCCTGCTTTTCGCTGCCCTATGCGTGAGAGAAAGGGAAGCCAGACAGACTGGCACGGTAACGCGTTTCGTAATAAAGCGGTTTACCCTCCCATAAGAAGGTATCACTTCAAAAATAATTTTGATTGATTTTGATGGCATTTTTCTTTGTCTATATCCAAATCACAATCATAGGTGAAATCGCAGTGACTTAAATCAATTCAAAATATAAACGGCAGCACTAATAAGAAATAAAAAATCTCTAGCCCTTCTGCACAACCAAATTGCTCAATCAGTAGAGCATTGAGACCTAATATTGATTCCTGACTACTCAACTAATATCAAATTAGTTGGAGAGAGTGGAGAACAAGCACGCGTCAAGGTGTAAATATGTTGCTTCCTTTGATCAGATACCGATCGACGACGAGCATACGCCAGTTGATCCAAACACCTCCTTTATACGCCAGCGTTTGTGGACACTTGTCGAGGCTCGCCATGCGTGTAAACGGCCTAAAAGGGTTTAGGAGAATTTCGGGAGTTCACTTCAGTAGTTTGGATAATTTTAAACAGCAACACTACATGGTATGTCAAAAATTGTGATTTGTGATCTTTGTCAAGTGGTTGCATGTTTGCAATGTCAATTGCGTTTATATTTTGATTTTCTTTCATGTTTCTTAAAACTTTCCTCAAAATATTACCGGATGAAACCTAAAATGATTCCTTAATCGCTTAATTCATAGCATAAAATGCTAGGTGACATACAACTAACTAAACGTTTGTTGGTTATTGCTTTGGTTCTTAGCATCATATTGATTTTAAAAGAATACGTATTTGTTTATCCGCTATGACTCAACATAAGGTGGCTTATTTTTATAATGCAGACGTAGGGAATTTCCACTATGGTCCTGGACATCCTATGAAGCCCCATCGATTGTCTGTGACACACAGCTTGGTACTGAACTATGGGCTTCATAAAAAAATGCAGATATACAAACCGTACCGAGCAAGCGCTCACGACATGTGTCGTTTCCACAGCGAGGATTACATAGAATTTTTACAAAGTGTCACCCCACAGAATATTCAAAGTGAGATTTTTGTTCTTGTTTTCAACTGTTTATATATTAATCATGAACTGACCTGACCTTGACTCATTAATTGTAACCTTCTGCTGTAAACAACAAGTTTTGACACGACTAGGTCAATTTTGCTACACACTAACTTCCAGCAGGAATATGCTTGTTTACACTGCTGCAACATATATACCAATCTTATGTTTCTAAGGTAGCTTTAAGAAGAAAAATGCAAGAATAGACCAGACAATTGGTACCAAATAGCGGTTAGTCTGTTTGAAACTGGGTATGGTATCTTAGGCATTTAGTTATTATGTACTATAGATGGTAAATGAGTTTATACAAGTAGCAAAAATGCCTTATAACCAAAACGGTATAAACTTCTGTTCATCTAATTATTACTACCAAATTTCACAAGATCACCTGCTGGGCTATTATGAAAATGTTATCAAAATTGGTCTTACCATTTTGACATAATGTGGGCAATGAATGTACAAACTATAGTTTTTTATAAATTAACCCAGAAAAGGCTACTGTCCCATATGTCTTCAATGCACTTTTAGATATACTTTTCAATGTAATATTTATAAAATGGATAATATATTATAACTGCACCTTTTTAATTTAAATTTCAATAGCTTGTCACTACAAATCCATTAAATATATTCCGTTAATATGTGTGTAAGTTGAAATATTTTTTTATTTCTACCATCCTACATGTGGGCTTATCTGGGTTAAATTCAGTTCATAATTAGACCCTTCTGGATCTAAGTATAATATTGCAATTTTTTTAAAGTGGTTTATAATACTGCATTATCCATATCGTACGTACGTACTTTAGTTTTAAAAAGACAAGTCCCGCACTAGGAAGATATCCTGTGTCCCTGGGGACTTTACAAACATACATTAAATGGACACAAAGAACACTCAGACTCGGATCAACAATTTGTGAATCACACAAATTGTTGTTCCATGTGGGAATCGGATCCACAACACTCAGTGCACTAGAAAGCGACGAGGTGACCGCTTAAAGCAATACACCATCTGTGCAGTCAATAATAGTTTAAAGTAGACGAGAAGTAGTAGAGTTTTTAAAACATGAGTTCTATTGATGGACTGGTGGACTAGACCAGAATAATCTAGTAACATATAAAATATTGAGAATGAATGTTTCTAACAATTTTTCCCTTCTCTATTTCAGGCTATTCCAAAGATTTGCTGCACTACAATGTCGGTGATGACTGTCCGGTGTTTGAAGGACTTTTTGACTTCTGTTCAATGTACACGGGTGCGTCATTGGAAGGGGCTATGAAGCTAAACAACAATGCTTGTGATATTGCTATCAACTGGTCTGGTGGACTGCATCATGCTAAGAAATTTGAACCTTCAGGTCAGTGTTTTATTAATTAATTTACACATCATCACACACAGCTTCTAATAGTCCACTTCTGGACATAGGCCTTAGATAGAAAGTTTTGGCTGCGAAGAAGTAGGGGTGGTGACACTCATTATTTTTAATCCATCCCCAGATAGATATATTAACACATGTGCTAAAACAAATAAATCTGTACACTGGTTAAATTAATATGCCAAATAACTGCCTAAAACTATCTCTATTCATACTTATTAAGGCAAAATTAGATAACATGTCTTTGACTACGACCCTTCGGGAACAAAGACGTGAGTGTATGTATGTCTGAATGTCATTTATGTAGATATTGCAGAAAAAAGTTTTCCACTTGAATCCTTCATGTGCCCCCCTCGGGGGTTCATGGACACTCACTATTATGCTTTAACCCCGACTCGGGGGTTCGAGAATAATTATAAATTTATATTCCTGGTCAACCCCCAGAGACTGTATACTGTTTCATTCAGTAATATATTCTCAGTAAGTCAATAATATATTTGAGAATTAAAATTTAGTTTTGTGTCTCACCTATGCTTACCAAATGTTATGAAATTTAGTGTTCTTAATCCAAAATTTAAAAACATTTGTATATATTTTTTTTTATATTGACTGTTAAGACTATACTGAGAGTAATTGGCCTTCTCTCTGTTTGTTCCGGCTAATCTTCAAAACGGCTGGACCGATTTTGATAATTTTACTACTAGGTAGCTGTCTATATAAGTAGTAACTTATGCTATTTTTCTCTCAGAAAAACCCTATAAAATTTTCGCTTTTCAATTTCGCCACGCCGTTAACTACTACTACACACGGGACGACACTTTGTGTGATCCACAAATTGTTGTTCTGAGTCTGGGTGTTCTTTGTATCCGTTTCATGTATGTTTGTAAAATCGACACAGGATATATTCCTTGTCTTTTGATAAAGAAAAAAATCTAATTGAGGATCCAATTAGGCAGCCGTGGCCTTTTTTTTTTTTTCCCTGCGGAAATCCCCTCGGATCCCCTATAACCGCACGCCGTCTCGGTTATAGTCGGTAATAGCCGGGGAACCAGGTATACCCTAGAAAGGAAGTCCCTGGTGCAAAGGAAGTCCCTCGTGGCCTACGTTTCCAACAAGTTAGATAAAAGTATTAGATATACAGTTAAGCCTAATTTATTTAACACTTGACATTAATTTCTGTGATGGTGTATAGCATAATACACTACTAATACATAATTAGACGATTACACTTAAAGCTTACCTTACACGAAAAATAAACTATAAAGAAGGTTATTAATGCTATGCCATGTTAAAGATATGTTGATTTACACTGAATAAAAACACTAACTTTCCAATTTCTGTCTTAAGACTTTAAGACTTAAGACTTATTATAAGAGTTTACCTAATCATATCAAGCTAATAAAAACTTACAAAATCTTACAAACTTACAAAATGGACAAAAAGTTTAAGAATTAAGACCACAAACTGCAAAACGCATGCAGTTTAGCAACAATATTGAAGCTTACTAAACTTTATTTTTTCAGGCTTCTGCTACGTGAACGACATAGTAATCGCCATATTAGAACTCCTGAAGTACAATCCACGAGTCCTGTACATCGATATTGATGTTCATCACGGCGATGGCGTACAGGAGGCTTTCTACCTTACAGACAGGGTCATGACCGTTAGCTTCCACAAGTATGGAAACTATTTCTTCCCGGGAACTGGTGATATGTACGAGATTGGATCAGAGAGTGGTAGATACTACTCTGTGAATGTCCCTCTTAAGGAAGGGATTGATGATCAAAGTTATGTGCAGGTGAGTCATGCAAATACCAAAACTTTATACACAGGGTTTACGTAATTAGTGTACGAAGTTAGGTTCGAAACTGCATTATCGCAATTCCAAGGTGCGTAAGACTTGCGATAAGTGTTTTTGACCTTACTGTATCGCATATCAATGTACTTTTGCCATCACATCACATCATCACATCAACAGCCTTTAACAGTCCACTGCTGGACATAGGCCTTAGGTTTTGGCCAACTATACCACGCTGGCCAGACGTTTTGGTATAGGGTTTGTGTCAAGTTTTCCTTCTCTTTGCAGTGCTGTTGTCCTGCATAGTTTGCTCCCTTAGTTAGCATTCTTCTTTTGCCATATTTTCCATATAAATAGCAGTGCATTGCATTTTAGAGCATTGTAGTGCATTTTTTATGCTGCAGCGGTGACTCGGTCTGTACAAAATTTGAAGTTGGTTTTAAGCAATTCTTATTGATAGAATAGTGTATTAATATAAAAACTTTCGTCATTGTTTTAAAAATATACGGTTTAAGTAACGTGCGTACAGACGCGCCAGGGGCACGTTACTCTAACAGCGTTGCGGCAGGACGCCTTTATCTTTCAAAATGGGCCTCTGTCGGGTCAATACTATTATAGGTAATTCCAAAATACACACATTAGTAAACCGTAGTACCTAGTTATTTTTAATACAAAATGGTCAATGGCTCCTAGTTCTTCAATACGAAAGAAATAATACAAAAAAATATAAACGAACTCTTACATTATGAGTCTTTGTATTTCTTTGTATTTGTCTTTAAAAAAAAAATGTTCTCTTCCAGGTGTTTAAGCCAGTGATATCGAACGTGATGGAGTTCTACCGGCCAACAGCCATCGTACTGCAATGCGGCGCTGACTCGCTGGCAGGGGACCGTCTCGGTTGCTTCTCCCTGTCCACCAGGGGGCACGGAGAGTGTGTCAAGTTTGTCAAGAACCTGAACGTGCCTACATTAGTGGTAGGAGGTGGAGGGTTAGTTCATTCACGTATTTATTTCTTCGTTAATTATAATATTTGGCAAGATTTTAATATAAGTAGCTTTAATGTTAAAATGTATTAAAAAATGTGTTATTTACTGAAACACATTTTAAAGAAATCACTTTAAATAACGCGCTGGGACTTTTGTTATAGCGTCCTACACACGGAGTACTACCGAATCCTTTTCTAGGCTTCGTGAATACATATATTTGTACTGCACAGTCCTTAGTTTATGTCTAAGGCTGGACAAACAAATATCTCCTTCTTAATTTAGTCACTAAAAATTATATTACTTAGTTCACTTATTATTTAAATATTATTGATGCTATTGCCCTAGATATATACTGACTACAATTTAAAATAATTTATCTAATCTGCTTTAATTATACACCTGCCATACTCACATCACTGCATCACCTAAAGGTTGACAGGAAGAAAATACCCGTGGCATCAAGTCCGCCTTAGGCAATGTATTTGCAGGAAATATAAATAAATAATATAAATATGTATTATTACTCTTTTATTCCATTCTGTAATGAATTACAGTTACACACTACGAAACGTAGCTCGCTGCTGGACGTACGAGACATCCCTGTTGGTGGATGAGTACATCTCCAATGAGCTACCCTACACGGAATACTTGGAGTTCTTTGCTCCTGACTTCCAACTGCACCCAGAGATCAACAGGTAAATTATGACATAACACTAAACAGTATCTAACAGACCACTATCTGATTCCAAACTAGGTAGAGCCTGTACTATGGGAACCAGACTCCTGATAAACATACTTAGTATATTTCTCAATATAGATAAATTACACAATGGTTTGTGGGTGGGTGGGAATCGAACCCAGGACCTCTGGCTTAGCAGTCAGGGTCACTATAAACTATACCAGCAGAGCTATCAAAGGTATGAATGTATCCTATATCCCTAAAGTTAACAAAAATATTATAAGATACCTTTAATACAATTGCAGTACGAACAACGCAAATAGCAAGCAGTACTTGGATGCGATCACTAAGCACGTTTACGACAACCTCAAGATGTGCCAGCACTCACCGGCTGTGCAGATGTCGCACGTACCAGGTCTGTATGGTTCCTCCCATTATTCAACACCACACATGACTCATTAGATATTTGAAGTGAAAACTTCTTAAGGCACGTTGGGCATTTTGAACAACAAACAAAATAATGTATTTTTTGAGAGGGGAAAAAACCATTGAACTTGCGACACTGTTACCGTTACCCACACCTCTGTATATAAGTATCTACATATATTGTTCCCGTTTACATGAGAACTGAGTTTGGGTTGAAATACATTGACGTGGTGGTGACGGATTAAGAATACAGAGTGTCACCACCCCTATTCATCCCGTGGGTGTCGTAAAAGGCGACTAAGGGAGCAAATTACGCTCCTGCGTAATTTGCTCCCTTAGTCAACAGCACTGCAGAGAGAAGGAAAACTTGACACAAACCCTATATCAACCCGTCTGGCCAGCGTGGTATAGTAGGCCAAAACCTCCTTTCTAAGTAGAGGCCTATGTCCAGCAGTGAACTGGTAAAGGCTGTTGATGATGATAATATAAACATATATTGTGTATATACGTACAACATGGATATATTCATGTCGGAACTTTTTTTTAATTTTCAAGTTTCACTTCTGTCGGCACTCCCGGAGTGCCACTGTTTTTGTTTTATGTTTACGGGTGCAAACGATTAGACGTGTTATCTGATGGTAAGTGACTACCTTATCGTCGACTCCTCCCATTAATGGCGAAGAATAGCTCTCCCATTGTTTGTATTGTAAACTTTAAATTATATAGCTTTAGATACATTTTAAGTCTTTCTTCTATCTGTTACAGGCGACTTCTTCCCTGATGAATACAGAATCAAAGAAGAACCAGACCCAGATGTTCGTATCAGTCAAGAAGAGACTGATAAGATGGTAGAACCCAAAAATGAGTTCTTTGAAGATGAGAGAGATAACGACAAGGAACCAGAGACTGATTTCATGGCATAGCATACGAATGGCCTGACTGACCCGCTGGCCATTTGACATGCAAAGGGTTACAAGAGATACAGATCAAAGTTTCTGTGAGTGTGTACTGTGCGTGACTTATAAAGTGTTGTGTAAGGATGTAGAACAATTGTGGACTTAATTGCTGCTGAAAAATCATTGGAGCTGCCATTGTAAGTTTATTTTACATCTACTCAGTCGTAACTGTAACCGCGTTCGGCGCTACAATTAGCCCTCACTGAAATCTTCACCAATCGCAACGGCAAACGCGCTCGCTGTCGAGAGTGAGTCGATGTCAAATAAATTCGCACTAGGCCCTCTGAAGACTAAAGTTAGGCAAGTTATAATTTTGTTGTCTTACTTAGATATTGTTTAAATGTAGTAGCGGTATGTTTAATTGTATTTGTCATCATTAATTTTAATTTATAAATACATACCTTATTACAAAATAGGATGTAGTTTTGTTAGTCTTTTAATTTCGGTGTCACCATTTGACACATTAAATCCGGGGTTCCCAAACTATTTTGAGCAAGAAACCCTTCTGCCAAAATCAACTGATACCTTACACCCTATAACCAAATTACTTTCAAAATCTGATCTATAGGTTTTTCCTATTAATACCAAATACATACAAATTTAAAAACTTTGCCGTTGTATTCAGTAAACTTGACATAATTTTCTCATCAAAATTTAACAAAATAAATAGACATATTAGTCAGTCTTATGCATGTAATACAACTTGAAAGTTTTAAATAAGGACTTGTGTTAATTAATTGAGAGCGATTCTTAGACCTTGTCGACACCAAAATCAGTTTTCCTTAATATCAATCACTCTGGGAAACCCTGTATTAAATGAACAAGAAATCGAAATTGTTAAAAATGAACCTAATTTGAAACATACACCTCTGCCGTGCCAATCCAAAAGACTGTAACTCGACTTACAGTGTTTTGCCTTAACAACGCTTAATCAGTTTCTTTACGTCGGTTTAGTACCCCTGATCAACACTTTTGTTCTTCTAAAGTGTATTTTAGAAAAAACAATAATCTAAAAATACCATATTGTATTGAAATTAGGGTTTTAATATGGTAAAAAACTGTAACAAAGCTTTCAAAGTCAAAAGTAGTTTTCAAAAGTTACAGTGGATTGGTACGGCAGACCTGGGTTTGATGTATCGTAACAGAATTCGTCCGTAACGTACATTTCTGGAAACCGATTGGTCAGGGGGTATGGCTTGATTGATGTGTCACTATTTTCTCAACATGTAATTAGTATAAATTTTTGTACCTTCTTTTATTTATACTTTAGGAAATGTTATAATGTACTTAGTTATTAAATATTGCTATGATTTAATTCTAATATTCTTTTATAAGATCATTTGAATGCAAAAAAGCTGTAATCAAGAAAAAATTGACCTAAGTTGTTGTTGCTTTACAGAAATAAAACACATTTATTGAATAGTATTATATACTCTATTGTTCTATAAATGTAACTGTAGATACTATTTTAATAAACAACACTTAGTTTAAGTTCTGAGCTAAATATAAGTATCGAGAACGTTAAAAATATCAGAAGAATGCTAACTTAATATGACAGCCAAGAAACATTGTTTTAGAAACTTCTAGAAAATACATTGTTTATGGTAAAAATAATGAATAAGTATATATTATATCGGACAGCATTGATGAAGTTTATGGAGCTGTAGAATGGACAGTGAGAAAAATGACCGTTTATTAATAAGTAGGTAGGTAAGTTGATCGTTCATGAAAATTATCTGCAAGTAGCTTGTAAGCATTTAGTATAAAATTTAATAGGGATTTGACGTAAACAAAAGTTATACTAATTGTATATGATGGCGCAGTGCATTTGCACCAGTATTAGATCACGTCTTCGTATTGTCTGTATACCTGTAAGTTCTTGTAACAACTAAATGAAATAAATAGAATGTACGTTCTTTCGAGAATAAGGTCAAGTGTGATTGCAACTCATGGAGAAGTTAGCATTAGTTAATATTAGTACGAAATAAGTACCTATTTCAGTTATAACTACTAGTTGCGCTAGAAATAAGTACTATTTATTTGTATCCGTTTTCGCTGTATGTACCTAATTTTTTTTATATTAAGAACGAGCATGAGAGCTGACTCGTTCTCGACGAGAAGACCTTCCGTATCTGAATACTGGTCTTCTAATTACAAATTAAATATTCTTGATGTATGGACATTGGAATTGTCATTATTTTTATTTTTAGTTTATCAATATTCGCCTTTTCCGTTTATCAATATTATTTCAAAAATCAAAATTATTTTGCGTTGTTGTTTTCGTGTTCAAAATAAGCGTGGTTTTTGCATTGAGTTAAAACAACACTAGAGAAGCAAACCTCATTATCACACGTCGAAAAAAGTGTAACCACTTTTGAACTTTGACGACGTAGCTTTGATACCACGAAACATTTGAAAGTAAACATATTTATGTCTCATTTACACGCGAGACAAGAACAATACCATCGCTCGGATTAGACAAAGACAAAGACATAACTTTACGATGGTGGGCCAGTGTTGACTACCGTATGAAATTTTACCCATAACAACCAAGAAACAATTTCTTAAAACAATTTTGTAATAAAATAAATTAATTTAAATATTTTAAATAATATATTTCGAATTGAATGGAATAGGTATAAATAATAAAATAACTAGAAATATTTGGTTAAAAGGGTTTATATTCAGTGTAAAATCAAACTCCGCTATGAAGCATCAGTTTTGTATACAATTGTCTTTTAGACTCTTTTTTATAAGTTTGTGTGAATATTTTACTTTCATGATACAATCTTATTTTTACCTATGTATAAATAATGGCATTTAATAGTAAAAGTGAATGATCAACTTGTACTGATAATAAATAATCCCCAGGGTGTATTGCAAATTCTTTTAATATTTCAAAATACAAATTAAAAAAAAATATAAAAAATATATATATTTTCTTTTTTAGTTTTTTGTATTTTTTTATTTATATTTATTTACTTTTTTATTTTATATATATTTTTTGTACAATTGTTATTTATATTTATTTAAATGAATGAATTAATTAATTAATTCTTTTATACAAAAGTCTCCAGCACTGCGAGCTTGGCAGAAGGTGAACATTCAACGGGTCCCTAAAAAAAGTGATCGATTCAGCCCTAACAACTACCGTTCTTCCTATATTTTATTATTATTGACAAAATGTTTAAAAACAGTATAAAGCATATTATTTCATAAATTATAAATTCTCCCACTAATGTGGGAAAACAAAAATGTTTTTTTAATGGTAACACTGATTCTAAATTACAATTATCAATGTTTTATTTCAATTATAGCCTTATTTACGATATTATCAATACAAAAACCATAAACTTACTCGTGATAAGTAATTCCGCATGATTTATTATGGTTTTGTGACCTTGAATCGCATTCTTTCACTACGCATTTACCCATTTTGGCGATTGTTACTGTCATGTGTCGCTATGTTCAACTCGGTTGACGCCACATTGAACACTGAATTGACGTTTGCTACGCATATGCCTGTGAACAGATGTGCAGTAGCAACGATTTTAGGCGGTAATTACTCATCTATGTAAGTATTATATCAATGGGTTTTTGATGATTTTGTCTTGCCCTAATATGTTCACAGTAGTTATACATTTGATTTCGCTAATATTGAACAATTAAAAATGTGTATGCTGATGAGTTGGAAGGGCCCTGGCCGATATTCAGTTCCATGTTTCTCATGGAGTCATTTTAAAAAACTTAAAAAATATATAATGAAACGGTTATATTAACACCTGTGTGTAACATGCATGCAACATAATAAATCAGGGTGTCGAGTAGGTGTCTCACAAATATCGGGCCTCTGCGACAAGGACGATACTCACTCAAACGAAAAATCATTCAATAAAGTAGAATTAATTAGAAATGACTTAAGTTTTTTTTCACTAATGGAACTATGGCCTAAAATGGCCCGGTACCTGCCATTTTAGCAGTTTATGTGAATACCACAACCCTAGGCAAAAACAGGGTTAAACAAAATAATAGAGAAATGACTATGGGAATTATTAGGTTTCTATAAATAGGCATTATGTGAACATTTTTTCTGTAATAAGACTAAATATTATTGTGATCAAAAATGATTATGAAATGGTTTTGTTTATATACGAACTAGTTCGAATAAATATATCGGACTGTCATATTTTATTAAATCCTTTTATTTTAAACCTCCCCAAAAAAGTTAAATAAACCAACCCTTTTAGTCTGAGCTTTTAGTCAGAGTACTACATTTTACCCTAGATTATTAATAAATTTAACTTATTGGAAGGATACTAAAATTTATTAAAAAATGTAAATTATTATTTATAATTATTTCCAATACCTACCAGTAAGGTATTGGAAATAATAATATATGTAAATCATGCATTACTTAAATAATGTTTTTATGGCATAAAATTTTTAATTTCTGCATCAAATATTTGCTTTATCTGGGTAAGTTTTAATAAAAAAACTACAAAACTTGTAAAAGTATATTTTTATTATTAGTTATTTATAATAACAATAAAATTAAAATATCTATGAATCTAATAGCCACCTAACTTTAAATCCAAGTTATTTTCAGATATATACCTGTGTACTTCACTCATGTCTTCTGCAAAGTCCACTGTAAACATTTGTAATTGTTCACACAATTGTATTATCTGTTTTATTACATTTCTTGAAACCTCTAACGTGCAGTCCAACCATAAAGTTCTAATATTTTTTAAATGTCCCTTTTTTAGTAAATGCAGTAACGTGTCATCTATATTAGATTTTGTTTGATATTTCAATACTAACTTTTGTAAATTATCCGTACACTCTAAGAAAAATGACAATAAATCATCTATACTAAAGTTTTCGTTACCAAGAGTCAGATTTCGGAGTTCTGAGAAAATTTTCTTCGGTCGCCGAAAATACCTCGGTATGACTAAACACTTCGATTGAGTCATAATACAAAGAGATGATAAGTTAGGGCAACACCTTCCGAGGGATAGAACTGCGTCTAAGGTCAAAGAATGGTCAATCTCCCACAGGGTGAAGTGTGTGAGATAACAACCTTTGACTGTCAACAATTGCTGCATCGAATCCGAATAGGAAAAGAATGACAAATCGAGTTTATTCAACCTTAGTTCACTTACAGATATTTGTTCCAGAATAGCATCTTTGTTATGTTCAGATAAATGTGTAACTGACAACTCTCGAAGATAAGGACATATTTTTATGAGCTTTTTAATACCATCAGCTGAAGCGAAATGACAATTTATTTTTCTGAGACTCAACGGACCTATTTCCATCGTTGTACCTATTAACGTGGAGCCAATATCGCAGGATTCGATCCTCAACTCTTCTAAGTATGGAAGTTTCACGATTAACATAATAATCCCAGCTTGTGAAACGCAACGACCAATACGAGAGGCCCGCTCATTCCGCGGCGGGTCCATTGCCAATATTCTTAAATGTTTCAAATTTGTAATTGAGCAAAGACCAGCATCGGAAACATTTCTTATTAAAACTGACGCATTAAATAGTGATTTACAGATGTCTACTCGCGAGACAATATTGATTTCTTCGAGTAAGGGGCAACTAACGCCAACGACTTGGAGAATTTCGTCAGTACAAATAAATTTTAAGTCGAGAACAACTAGGCGCCCGAAGTTTGCAAGCGTATTAATCCAGAACCGTTGCGGTATGCTGTTATCGAGGTCGCATTTGCGGAAGACTGTCATGTTGGGATGAGTCAGTACGTGGAGCTGAACACGAGGGTCGCCGCGGTACTGGCAGCATGTTCTTTCTGAACAGAGGACATCGAATAACCTGGAACATAAAATAACAATTAAATATAAACTTATTTATACATTAAATCATCATCATCAACCGATCGCCGTCCACAGCTGAATGAAGGCGTATATACATTAAATATTACATTGAAACATTAAATATCATGATAATATTTTTTTATCAATTTGGTAGTGTGATAAGTACAATTTGGCACATGCAATCAAGAGGCTGCTAAGTCAACCCACCCAGTACACCGGCATTGTTTGACGAATAGGTTTATGCCAGTTGTTGATGGGTAATGACCAAAAATGATATTACCAGCAGCCTTGGTCTGATCACATGGAAAACTTATGTCTCATTCGTCAGGCACTTTATTAATGGGGCATTGGGTTTCGCAATTTGCAAGTCGATAATATTGGTCATGGGGGTCATGAAATGTGAACAAGGACTTGCTAGGGCTTAGTAGGACAGATATACAGATGCATGAAGATATTGAGGTTTTTATTGGGTTATTTGTAGAGTTGGCTTTGTATATATATACAAACAGACAAAAGGATAAGTAAGCCAAGTCTACCGCCTCTTAAACTAAATAAAGTTACGGCAATGATCTTGTTCAAATTGGCAATAATTCGTTAAAAACCTTTGCCATGATTTAGCATTAAGGAAAAATAACTTCAATACTTTTAGGCAAACATAGTGGAGGAAGCCCGCAGGCCAGATGGAGTGACAATCTGCGCAGGATAGCTGCGAGAAGCCAAAAATCGATCCAAGTGGAGTGCGATATGATGAAGAACTTTAAAACATCATTTATTTTTTATTCTGTTTAAGTACTGCGAAATTCATTTCGGTAAAAGTTTTTTTTTTTTAATTTTATCAATAAGTATGTCTAAGTTGTTTAAAATAAAAACCAACGTCATGTTACAAAACATTAGGCGCATTAACATACTAGGAGCCAAAGAGGGACCTTAAACAGAGGTAACCGGTAGGGAACTAGTATTATAATGATATGGTTAACTAAGTTAAGTTTGATTTCAATATAAATATTTTATGTTGGTTTATGTTTCACACATAATTTATATATTGTTGCTGTTAATATATTTACTATTAAAACCTTGTGACAATAAATGATGTACACATAGCAAAGTTAATATTAATTAGATACAACATTTAAATATTAAATTATATCCAAATTAATAAATGCTTAGTGGTCCTAAGTGACCAGTTATCTACATTCAATTAATTAAATCTTTATATGGCTATCTAGACAGCTCATAGTCCTGTTTCTGAGCCACCTGCTAACATAAAGTTACTTTAGGTATAAGGCAGTCAACAAGCTTATAGCAATATTTTTTCTTTAAAAGTATAATTCCCGAACAAGGAGAATATCCTGCGTATTGGGGGATTTAACATACATTAATTAAATGGACACAAAGAACACCCAGACTCAGATCAAAAATTTGTATCACACAAAGTGTTATGTGAACCCACAACATTCAGTACAGTACAGGAGGGGGCTAGGTGACTGCTTAAACCATCTAAGCAGTAAAATCAAATAATACTTTAGGGATATAAAAAGTTTATAATATGAAATAGGTTTGAATCATACTGTTATTTGAAGAATAATGAAATATATATATATTCCTGCAAAAGTCACAAGTATTTGGAAGACAGCCAAATTAAAGAAACATTAGTTCAAGGTAATGTGGAATCTGAATGTGATATTACAATGACAAGTGAACAGGGTTTTAATTAGTCTTCTTTAACAATTTTGTAATGTGGATGGAATTATGTGAAAATTTATTTCTACAGATACAGGATTCCTATTCTAAAATTATAGTATTTTTTAAATAAAACTGCGCTCTTAAAACGAACGCTGCTCATAAGAAACTATGGTGTAACACCAACTATTTATTTTGATTTCATGTATTTTTCTTTATCAATGTCAAAAATAAGTTTTCATCAGTCGTTTTTAGCAAAGATATACAATTAAAAAACTTAGTGTCAAAGCCTTGGCGAATTGTTTATAATACGTGTAATATTTAGTTGGAATCAAAACAAAGGTTTACCTGGCGGGCAGCATAGACATCAAATGGCATTTCAATTCGAATGCCTCTTTCTCACACTCGTTAAACTTACTTTCCGGATAACTCTTTTCAATAACATAACAAGCTGAATTAATAAGACCAATGCAACTTTTAACACATAATTTAAACAAAGTATAAGGCTGCTTAGGAGGCGACATTACGACCTAAGCGAACCAAATGGCAACTTATAGTACTTTAAAACGATTATTGAATTTTTAGCTGTAAATACAATATTTTTATAAAAAGATTGAACTCTATTAAGTAAAACTACTTTCTAATTTCTATTTTGCTAAATATTGCTATCTATTGATTTATTGACTGACAGACAGTTACTGACAGTTCATCACTGCATCGAATCACAGAACACTAAGCGAATGCAGTGGCATAGATAATTAAGATAAAAATTATGCCTGCTGATTAAATGAACCAGACTCTAATTGGATGAACGAAGAACGTTATATGACGCTACGGTTAGTCCGTACGGTTTTTCTAGGGGCATTAGACTATCAGATCTATTATAATAGTATTGATTTATATCTATAATATTGTACTGTGTCCGCAAGAGGTCATCGTGGCTAGTCACAAAACAGTAAATTAGCTGAAAAACTGAACCCAGAAGCTGAATAAAACAAAACAGCCTCTATGCATTTTTGTTATTGGTTGACCACTAAAATCACAATTAAAAATAAACACTAGGTGAGACAAAAAGGTAGGTATACTTCTGTTAAAATATTTATCAACTTTAGGGCTTTAATAGCTCTGCAAGACAATGAAAATATGTTATTCTACGGAGTTATAAGATCGAGGCATGATTCTCATAGTGGTTTAATTTATTACTCGTCAACTTTGACAGCGCTTTTAGAGAGATCAAAAATATCAAGATCTCTTTAATAGCACGGAATGCACAGTTATGCCTTGTGTCTTTTGATCGATATATTGAGGTGCAAAATTGTAATCGGTGGTCTGTAGATTCTTTTAAACAAGCTTTGATTTTCGTCACTTGAGTTTCTTAACTCCTAAACAGCAAAAAATAGCGCTCTAATCAAAAACTGTTCGTACTTACTAGATATGGAAATTATTGCTACTTTTAAATCCTATTCATTTGATGAAATTATTGGTTTTAGGTTGTTTATTCTGCGGTTCTGGTTAACGTATGATACTATATTAATAGTACCTATAGTAATAGGGATAAAATTAGAAATTCTGAAATAAGAAGAAAAACTAAAGTTGCAGATATAATAACTCGCATAGATCATTTAAAATGGGGTTGGACAGGACATATGCTACGTTCCAAAATAAATAAATGGAGCAAACAAGTCACCTTATGGTACCCAAGAGCGGACTGTAGAAGAAAGGGACGTCCGAAAACTAGATGGAAAGACGATATCCGCCTAACTTTGGGACCTTATTAGACCAGAGTAGCAGAGGATAGAGCTCAGTGGAGAGAGCTGGAGGAGGCCTATGCCAAGAGGCGCACCGAATTGCGAGACATAATATAAGAAATAGAACTCGGAAATATGTATTGTCAAATCTGTAGCGAATTCGGAAGAAAAGGGCTTTATTATTATTCTCTTTATTTACTTTATATACATATTATTTACATTTTTAAATATACACTTTATAAAAAAATACATTTAAAAATATAAAAAATAGTAGACCACCGACATCGGGTACAGGGACCAAGACACCGGTGGTTAGGACTCCAAAGATAGGAACCTCCTCACTATACGAGCCGTGTCAAGGAGGACTGCCTTCTGCATCAGACCCTTGATCCAGCCATCCAACGTGAGCCTCTTAAGGTGTTGGTCGAGGCTCTTGGCTATCAATCCATGAGCAGATACGACTATCGGAACAATGATCACTGAATCAACATTCCACATATCGACAATCTCGTGAGATAAATCCAAATATTTAATTTGTTTTTCTTTTTCAACTTTCACGAGATTCTCGTCATGAGGAACGGCGATATCAACAATCATTGCGCGGCGCTCTAATCGATCTATCAACACAATATCAGGCTTATTGGCAACAATAGTCCTGTCTGTGATAATAGATCGATCCCAATACAACGTGGCCCGACCATTCTCGAGAACTGGGTCGGGCACATACCTATAGTATGGCACCTCTAGATTCACAAGATGGTATTTAAGGGCAAGCTGTTGGTGTACGATCCTGGCTACTTGGTTGTGCCTGTGCAAATATTCTCCGTTAGCAAGACGAGAACAACCAGAAATAATATCCCTGATTGATTCGCCAGGACGGTGGCATGCCCGACAGATGTCAACCGTACCATCTTTCAGGATATATTTCCGATAGTTATTCGTCATGATAACTTCGTCCATAATCGCACAAACAAAACCTTCAGTTTCTCCAAAGAGATCACCATGCCGTAGCCAAGTCGTAGATGCTTTTAAATCTATATCGGACCCGTTTAGGGCCCGATAAAACCGACCATGGAGCTCTTTGCCCTTCCATACTTCCCTGCGATCATTAACACCAAGTACTACAGGTCTGCGCCAATTCTCTTTAGCCAGAGCGAGCGGGGTGAAGCCGGTATCCACTGCAACTACATTGCGATGCACTCCCACGTCGGTATGTAGAAAATATTCTCTGAGATTGCATACCTCGCGATTATGTAGGGTCTTGATATTTAATAGACCGCGACCCCCAAGCTTTCGCGGGATATACAATCTCATAACTGATGAACGTGGGTGGTGCATTCGGGATGCAGTCAGCAGTGTGCGGACTTTCCTGTCAAGGGCATCTAATTCGGTCTGAGTCCATCTAAGTATACCAAAGGAATACATTACGGCATGACCCAACCATTGCAGGCTCGCACCTTGTTGCCCCCTGATAAAAGACTTTTAAGTACTTTTTTCAAGCGGCCAAAAAAGCGTTCCTGCAATGTTTGTTTCATGTTAGATTCTGGTATTCCCAACGACTGTGATATACCCAGATACTTGTAAGTTTCAGTGGCAGACAGAGATCTGAGTTTTGTTGAATCCAAAAGCTCTATTCCTTCAGATTCAACTATCACACCCTTCTTTACATACATGACTGCACACTTGTCTACACCAAATTCCATTTTGATAGAATTACTAAAGTTTTCCGTCACCTTTAGTAACTTTGTCAATTGTAATTTGTTGGAGGCTAACAGTTTCAAATCATCCATATAAAGAAGGTGAGATATAACTTGATCATCTTTCTGCAACCTATAGCCTAACCCTGAACCCTCTAATAAAGTGCTAAGAGGGTTCAAAGCCAGACAAAACCACAAGGGACTCAGACTATCACCTTGAAATATACCCCGCTCGATCTTTATTAGTACATCGTGTATCGCTGTCTGCCGACATCCTGGATAGCGAAGTGCCGTTCTCCATTGCCCCATACATGACTTCAAGAAAGTGCACAGAGTTGTATCAATTTTATACAACTCCAGCACCTTCAAAAGCCATGTGTGTGGAACCGAGTCATAAGCCTTCTTATAATCTATCCAACACGTCGCCAAACTCTTACGATTACAACGTACCTGTTGGCTAATGGTCATGTCTATGATAAGGAGGTCTTTAGTGCCACGGGTCCCACTTCTACATCCATTCTGAGAAACTGACATAATCGAATTATTATTAATATGTAAAGTAATTTTGAGTCTCAGAATAGATGTTAGAAGTTTATACATGGTAGGTAAACATGTAATAGGTCGAAAATTTTTGGGATCCATGACACTACCAGACTTATAGAGTAAGTGGGTTATGCCAGTGGTTAAAAATTGGGGTAATGAACCCGAATCCAAAGCTGCCTGGAATTGAGATGCCAAACGCGCATGTGAGCTTCGGAACCACTTAAGCCAAAAGTTGTGCAGTCCGTCTGGACCAGGTGATTTCCAATTCGGTAATGAACGAACTGCACAACTTACATCATCTTTATCAATTTTAACAGGTTCCATAGGTGTTATAGACTCACATGAGCGTCTGACATCCTGCAACCAATCACCTTCTATATGAGTGACAGGCACCGACCAGATGTTACGCCAAAATGTATTTGTGACATTTTCATCTGGCAAATGCCTATCACCCACACATGGATCCGGTTCCTCCCATTTCCGGTACACCCACTTCTCATTTCTTTGGAACATCCGATTCTGATTATACCGATCTATTCGTTTTTTATACCGTCTTATCCTATTTGCCCATGCATAAATTTTCTGCTTTAGAAAGTCTATGCGCTTTGTGACACATGACATGTACTGCTGAGGACTAATGGTAGTCCCCAAGAATGCCTGTTTCACAAAGCGCATCACTCTCGGCCGCATATTCCCTGATCGGTAGCTAATAAGCTTACCGATGAGTGTCCTGGTCTCAGTAATACGACGTTCAATTCTATACTGCCAAGCTGGTACAGTAGATTTAGGTCGAGTAGTAGTGACATTGTTAGCTATTTTAACACCAGCTACTCGACAAACTGCAATAGCCGCACAATATAGAATAGAATGTGTATCACTAAGATCTTCGCTATTATCTAAATATTCAGGCAATAACGAATCCAGGGCAGCCACCAGCGCTAAATTTCGTTTATGAATGGGCAAACGGAATAACCGGGGCCTATCATTGCAATTTAAATATCGGTATTCCAGAATCGCATCCTCCAAAGCACTCCTTATCCTATCATTGTATTGGGTACTTACGGATATAACTTCACTCTCCACTAGTTCATCAATATCATCAGTATATGATGCCAACTGAGGTGTGCTGTTGGCTACCGAATCCACAGTGTGTGACGAAGAAGGGATAATTAAGCTATTCCGTATGTCAGAGCGTATCCTCTCAAGTACTGCATCATCCAGCAGATGACAGCGCTGTATAGCTCGTACTTGATCCGACAATCGTTGTGCTGATACGTTGACAGCTGGTTCAAGCTCCTGAAACAAAGAGACTAGTCGAACACGGTACGCAGTAAGGTTCGTTCCCACCTCTGTAGCCCGATAATATGCCCGCATGACATTTTCATTAATAGACTTTGTCCACTTCATGCGGCGCACATCACCACCGGTAGCGGGGACCCTGTTCGAGGTCAGTAGTCCTCGGGATCCCAAGCTGGTCGGTGGCCGGCCTCTCCCCTGCCGACGTACAGGTGTTGGCGACGTCGGCGGAGAGAAAAA